TTTCTCCAGACTTCATTTCCTTTTCTTTGTTGTACTGGGCTTATGATGGAATTGACTTCCTGAGGTCGTTGCCCCATTTCTTCTATTTTTTTTTAGATTTCATGGTCCTTGAGCATTTAACATCCACGTCCGTTCCTTTTTGTTCAGTTTTCTTCCCTCACACAGCAGCAGGAAATTACACTGCCTTTCAAATGTTCGGGGACACTTCACAATGTTGTTTTTCTTTGAGTGTTTTAGATAAATACTTGCAAGAGTTTAACATCTTGAAAAGAAAGCTGTTTAGCTTGCAATGTTGCAAAAACTACAAAACTGGAGCAACTGACAAAAGCCTTTCCTTGGGAACAAAGCCAAAGCCCACACATTTTATTCCCTTGTTATGATGTGAGCACTCATCAGCTCCTTAAATAGCCATTGGGCCAAAACAGTTAGGGCAGTTACGGTCACACAGTTAAATGCAGGGAAAGGAAACTTGATGAGTCAGCTTAGTGATTATTTTGCAGTTTGAATGATAATCAGAGCATCCTCTCATCTTTAGTAATCCATGTTTAGAATAGCGCCACAAGGGGGAGCCAATTCACTTTTTTACGCATCACTGAAAGAGAGGAAACCCACACCAGCAGGATCTCTGTTACAAATGTCATGTTTATGCAGTAAAATTTAAACATTTTAAGTGAAATAAAAATGTATGAGTTGTAAGTGTTTATGAAGTAAATGGCTTTGTTTAACTAGGTCTAGGCCAATGGCTGATGTTTGTCAGCTACCGACTGCTGGATATCAGGCTGAAAAGAGGACAGTGGTGAATGAAGGTCTAGCTCAGTTTAGTACATTTGGGTGAACGCTTATGTTTAATCTTGAAGTAATGCTGTAAATTGTTTGGCTTCAACCCCTCATTTGATAAGACAAAAGCACAGAGCGATGGCTGGTCTTTTTTAGTTCCAGCACAAATGAAATGCTCACTGCTGTGTTTTCTTAGTTTCGCTTATGCTTGGCTTTCCCGGTTTTCTCAGTTTGAGATACCGGTGGCCGCTTCACTTATAGATGCCCAATCTTTGGGATTCTTTCCTTTTGACTCTGATTTTAACACTTTATACATGATGGGTGGATTCCGTATAATCTGAAATGAAACGTTTTATACTGACGGGCACTGAAAATATAAACATGATTAGCTAGAATTTTGCCTGAACACTCAATAAGCACCACAAAAAAATATGACGTTTATGTTTGCAAATAATTATCACAACCATATATCAGACTGCCAATGGCCCCCCTAGGAGTACCACCACTGCCCACAGGTCTAGGCTGAACAGTTCAGTGAACAGGTTACTCCAGTAATATTTAGTTAGGAACTATTCACAGTAAAACTTAAACATAGAAAGTATAATTGAGAGCTTTTAATATGTGCTTTTAACAATAGAAGGCAGTGTCCCCAAACTTTTGGCAGCCAGTGTACATTCATACCTTCAGTCTAGAGCTGGGTGGGCCTTAGCGGAGCACAAGCACAAGTTCCTTCACCCACAGCTTTAGATTTATATAATCACCATCACATATCCAAGGCACCACCGCCTGCCATTCATAATCGGGGCACGTTTGCATATGTGGAAGCACTACTGTAACGTGGCATCATTTCCATTGAGATGTTGTTGCTAGTGTAGTGTACTTCAAGTTACTTGTTTTAAGTCAAAGAATACTGTTTTATTTTATTTTCCTGTATGATAGTGTTGATGCAAATGTAGTAAACTGTCTACAATCATGTTTATATAGTAAATGAGACTTGTATATTGCCGTCAGCCTCTCGCTGTCCCAGTGTCCTTTTCCCCTGCCCTGTCTGCAGTACATGTTGTTAGGTCATTGGCAGGTTTCAGTGTGGCTAACCTATGCAATTCTACAGTAGTGCTTCGTATTACTCATAGACATACACCCTGTGGTGTGGCTGAGTAGTTTAGCGTTGCCGATAGTCCGACCTTTTTGTGTTTTGCGGTGTACAACTTGCATATTCCAGTCAGCATAAAGAGAAAATAATGATACCATGATGAAAAAGATTCTGATTAATACTTGACTGCAGATGTGGAGACAAGATGTATTATCTATCAGCGTGTTCCTTCTATTTTTATGAGATGAAACATGAATTTCAAAAAGAGTAGGATGGTGAATAAACATGTAAATGTCAATGGATATTGGAAGTGTGTGTGTGTTGAGTTTGTTTTGTTAGATGCTGCATTCATTCATGCAAGGCTGGCAACATATGGTTGACAAAAGCAGCTGCTGAATTTGAATCTGAAATCTGAATTAGAATCGGATTTAGTTCATCTTTTTGTTCTGCATTGTTTCTAACATCTACCCGGTTTCTGACGTACACCATACATAAAGTGTGTAGACAGCTGCTCATCCATTGTTTCTTCTCAAACCAAGCATGTTAAAGGGAATTCGTCCTCCTTTGCTGAAGTAACAGCCTCTGCTCTTCTGGGAAGGCTTTACATTAGATGTGGGAATATTGCTGTGAGAATTTGATTGCAGCCTCAAGAGCATTAGTGAGGTCAGGTACTGATGTTGGATGATCAGTTCTGTACACACCAACTCTTCCCAAAGGAATCTGATGGAGCTTCATCACTACAGAGAGCGCAGCTGCTCCATAGCCCAATGTTAAGGGGCCATTTAACAAAAACTTGGCATTGGGAATGGTGAACTTGGCGTCGTGGAAAATATCTCTGCAGCTTTGCTCTCGACACAGAACTGAAATAAAACTCAAAACACCAGAATTGGCAGGAAAAGGCACAGTTCTTTGATTGAAGCTCAAGGCTTTCCAGCATTAAGTGTTAATCCTGAGTTGGCCCTGGCAAAACTAACAAACCCACCAAAATCCACGCTTTTTATACTCTTTTTGGGCAAGGAGGGGTCAACACCTGGCTCCTCCCTGCCCTCCCCATATATTTCAGACCTTTTGATTTGCACACCATTATGTCCAAAAGTCACTGCTTTTTTTTGCCGCCCTTATTTCCAAACCACGGAGTGATATATATATATATATATATTTTTTTTTTTGTTTGAAGGCCAAGACCATTCTCAGGCCCAAACCTTCAAGCTTTATTTGCTTCATCTATTACATTTGGATTTACATTCTGAATTTATTTTTGCTACGTTTGCACTTTTCCCCTTTTCCCAATAGTAATTTTAATGTTCTCATGATACAAACAGACTTCAGCCGTATGTGTGTGTCCTATCAAGTCCCAGCCGACACCTCAAGGCCACTCACAGAAGGCCTTCTCGTTCCCATGCTTCAAGGCCACTCACAGACACAGCCAAACTGCTCATCCACCATATAATACTCATATGTGAATAATTATGATTCAGTTCATCTATTACTTTTTGAGAAAATCTTCCTTAAAGTAGTTGAAATTACTAATTAGAAAGTTTAAAGAAACCTTAAAAATCTTCCAGGTTTACCTTGCTATTGCGGTGATACTTTACTTGAACCCTACTATATAGCGTTGACATAACCATGTCATAACCATGTCATGGGTTGTTCAGTAATATAACAGGCATGTTCTTATTACCAGTAATTGTCAGGTGTCATAATAGTTGATTTCCATGACGGCTGCTAGAGTACACTTAGGAGAAGTTAGCCTAAGACGTGAGCTGTCATGACAGTTACTGGTAACAGTCATCGTCATCGAGTTCCATCCCTGGCGATGCGTAATTGGAGCATAATTGCGTTCAAATTGCAATGCATCACAATACTGTAAACCTATTCTGGGGCCTCTTGATTCTCACCTCTAATAACCAAACTAGTTCTAGGTTCTAGAACTCAGCTCTTCTCTCTGCTCCAGTATCCTCACGTAGCATCCTCCATACCCAACTTTTCCTTTCTGAGATGTCTACACTAAATAAAGACCTGGTGGTGTAAAGCATGATGGCAACAACCCCATCTAGACAGCTCTTACCAGGCGACTCAGTTAGCGACTCCATTCCCAACAGAAGCCAATTTGAAATGGGGGCCTCGCTTAGAGATTAAGCACTGAACTCTAGTCTGCTGCTTTATTAACCCTTTCCTACATGCACTGCCCATTGTCCACAGTCTGAAGGTAAGAGTCGCTCTGTCTACATATCTGTATATCTAGTCTAACTTTGTCTGTGTTGCACTCCTTGTTTCCATGGATCTTGATGTTAGTTGCGCCTACCATTACATTCCGTGCAGCGGTAAGACTACCACCAAGCTATCGCTCGGCAATCTGCACGTGCGCTTAACCTTTTTTTCCCACTTAAAAGCTTTTTTATTTGCAGCGCTCTTAGCACCAAAGACGGTTGTGTTTTCAGGTCTTCTTTTTGACAATGTGTGGAAACAAGGCTGTAGTCTGTCTGTGGTAGCTGTTATTCGTGGGTTGGTGTGTAGTAGGGTTGTACTTGGTACGTGTTTGTCCGTAGCTTGTTGTGGGTTATTGCTTGTGAACATATTGTGTTTGTGTATGTGTGTTTTTTTTTGTGTTTAATTATAATAGCTTAATAATGTTGCCACCTGCTCTGTGTTGTGAATTCTACTTCTACTTCCATCTCTCCTCTCAGAAAGAACGAGGCTTAACGTCAAAATACTGTCATGTGTTGTATATTCTGATACTTGTTTAGGGTAGAATCAGCAATATGGCACCACATAGTGCAGCATTTCTTACGGTCATCATCAGTTCTTACAGTTCTCCAGCTTCGATGCTGGGGGGCCTTGGTCTAGCACAGCTTGCTCGTTGCCTAGCTGATTAAATTCAGCACTTTGTTACCAGATTAAGTAGCTGTGTTTGACCTGGAAACTATGCTGAACTCTGATCGTCCAGGGCTGGAAGTAGATGGCGCTGTTTTATGCTTACACTCATGTTAGAAAAAGCTATTCATCTTTTGGAAGGTTGTTATGATGCCATCTTGCTGAATCTACCACACACTTTAATACAGTTCCTCAATGCAGTTGCCATTTGCTACTTCACTCATATGGTTCTTTTGGTTCTCTCTCTGTTCTGCAGAGGCAAAGGGGAAGACTAACGGCTATGAAGCCCTTTTAGAGGGTGGTGACGCAGAAAACCCCAGTCAGAGCTGTCTTCATTCCAGCGATGAAGAAGAGGACGATGAAGGTGAAGGCAAGGAAGAGCCAAGCTTGAGGCTGAGTGGCGACGAAGCTTCAAGCCACGATTGCAGTGGTTCTAGACCGTTGTTGCAGGACTCTGACGAAGATGAAGAACAAGAAACTGTTGCTTCTGGAAACCTTCACACATATTCGAATCTGCAGGCCAGCACTATCGCAGAGTCCACTCTGGTTGCGCATCAGCACTCTCAGAACCACTTGCCCCAAGCCCAGGGGCAACCCTGCCATTCGGAACTCGACCCCAACCTGGACATCTTCTCCAAAGCACCTTTCCAGGCTGCGCAAGAACAGGATAGCGATGGGGACGTTTTTGCAAATGCGCCATTTCCTCGTCCGCTGGCCCAGCCTCAGCAGCCCGATGTGTTTCTCCAGGCCCCATTCGGAAGGCGAAAGGAAACTCAAACCGCAGGCGTGGTGTATCCCCATCTAGTTGCCCAGTCTGGCTTCCATCACTCCCAGTTGGTGACCTCTTATCCTGGAAGCCATGACCAGAGCATCCTTGGTCAAGTAGCCACTCAGCCCTTCCGACCACAGGCTTTAACTAAATACTCCAGACATTATGAAGGGCCCTTGGCATCAGAACCTGACAAGGCCCAACTAGGAATGTCAAGCAAAGGCAAGAAAGGCCCTGTTGCTGCCCTGCACTCCTGGACGCCTGATGTAAATGCTAGTGATCCGTTCGTTTCTGCTCCCTTTTATCTTAAAGGCCCTCAAGAGAAGCACTGATGCTTCAGCACTCTAGGACCTAGTTTCTCAGACCCAGATTGAGCCTAAGCCTTGAATAAATGGGATTTCTAATGATGAAAGTTGCAAATCAGTCCAAATCTAGGCTTAATCCTAATTCGTATTTCAGAAATCACCCCTAAGAACACCTATGCACTAAGTTTGAAAAGACAATGCATCCTCTCTCCTAGGGATGGGCTTCAACCATGCAAGATTGCACCCAATTTATTATCTTTTTTAGCCTTTCTTTTAAAGCAGCCCAAGCTTCTTTGGCCTAGGGATGTTGAAGTATGAATGCCTTTGATAATATGCTGCACAGAGAATATTAGCATATGTAACGTGAAATATTATGCAAGAATGAACAGCACATACATACCGTGCAGAGTGATGATATTTACTACAACTGGCTTTAACTACAGCCTGCAGTGTCATTCCCATATTACTGACCAATCATGATTGTGTACTCTGCCTACCTCAGTTTATTTCTATGCTGAGAGAGCTTGTTTTCTGAGGTCTTGCACATTGTCTAAAAAAAGTTTAAAGGAATATTCCAGCACTTTTGCAACCTACACTCTGTCTGCCACATCTGCCTCGTAGGGTCAGTTGCCACAGACACTTTCTTGTACTCAGAAAAGCCTTGTGACTCAGTGTCTGTTATAGTTTAAAGTCAGTGAAGCATCTGTCCATTGACTTCTGTTATAAGTGCGTTTTGAGTCAGCAAGTTTTCTGTTCTGTTCTAATTTCTATTAAATTTCATCGTTCGTAGAGAAAAGTTTCTTTTCCAGTGCCGATATTGAAACCTCGAGTATCGTCCGATACCACTCCAGTATTTTTCTTGAAAAACTATACTACTGCATAATTAAATCGTTGAGATGTGAAAAAAGGGCATTCAAAGCGGTTTGATGTGAAATGGTTCATTGTATAGAAACCAAAGCAACTCTGATTGCTCATGTCTGATTTCTTTTACTGTGGTGGTGATAGGAACCAGGGGTTGTGATATTTACAGCCCAAATATAGCCATTAACCAACAGCAAACCTGCATATCACCGTGAGTTTTTATATGTAATGTTGATAATGGTAAAATAGTGGTAGATCTGAAAAAAAAGTTTTCTTGGCTATTTTGCCTCACAGCGCCTAGTATATACCCCTCTGCTATAATGGATGTTAAAAATTCTGTTTTAGGCTAAAACCTTCATCTCAAAACAGTGTAAAACTTGTAAAACAGTGTCTCAGGCATCAGGTAGAGTATTCATTACTTCATTGTTTCATTTTGTGTAATACCACCACTGTGAACGTTTATGACTTGGTAAGTCTCTCTAGAAGGGAGCATTTCACATCAAACCACTCGTAATGCCTTTGTTTCACATCTAAACCCTTTTATTAAGAAGACATTTTTGAATAATCCATGGATTTCACCTTAACTTCACTTGAACGAGCATCAGAAAGTAGGCGGTCATCACAGTGTGAATTAGGCTACGTTCACATTACCAGGCTGAAGTGGCACAAATCCGATTTTTTGGGCCCTAATGTGACTGTGTGGACGTGCAAATCTGATCTTTTCAAATCCGGCCTGAGTCACTTTCATATGTGGTCCTAGATCGGATACGTATCCGATTTGTGGCCATGCGACCTTAATGTGAACGTTCAGATCGGAATTCATGTGCTTTTTTTCCCCACTGCGTGTGCGCCAGCTTTCAGCGTTACCATGGCAGCAGCGCCGAACAGAAGTTAAAGCCTGTAAACGGTGAAAAAGCAGCACATCACCTTTTTCATCTTGCTCTAATAATGAAGCTGAGAGCTGATCAGAGTTAATTATCTTCTCAGCGAAGCTCGTTCTGCTCGTTAGTTTGTGCTAATGACGTTACTGAGTAGGATGTGCCATGTGGGTCATTTCAGGACGCCGGTTCGTTCGCATTAATGACAGATTTGAATCACTTACCTAAACGAGTATGAACCATCGTGTCGGAGAGATCGGATTTGAGCAAAAAATCGGATTTGAGAAATGAGGCTTGTAATGTGAACGTAGCTTTAGTGCATGCTATTTCAAGACGGATTTGTTGAAGGTTTGAATCAGACCCGTTCTTTTTTTCCACTTTCTGATATCCAGTCCGGCACCTTCTGCTGATGTCAGGCAGATACTGATACCCATCGATACCGATATTGCCATCCTTTGGTCATTGTTAATGAACCGTAAGATAGCAATGGGTCAGATAGAGATTGGGCTGAAAAAAGCTGGAGGATTCCTATGATTAGAGATTTTGCAGTGCTTCGTTGACCGATTAGACCCCTTCTATCGTATATACGCTGGTTTAGGAATTGCTGAAATATTTTTCTTTGTGAATTTGAATGTGCACATGACCTGCCTCCTGACTTAAGAGTTGCTGAAATTAGCTTGACTTCTTCCCTGTGCAGTGCATTACTCCAATGTCAGTAGTTATAACGAAAAAAGACTCATGCAATATACACTGTTATGGAGATGTTCTCGCTTTGTTTGATTCACCTACACTACCACAGAATGTTTGTCAAAACACTTGCACAAGCTACTGGGGCTCTCACGAAAGACCCCCTGCTCTTTTGAATGGACAGAACATCACTGGGAAGCGGCCTTCTCAAACGTGAATGTCTGAATGTCAGTTTTTGTCTGATCTTTATTCATATGGATGTAGGTTACTGAGGCTTTCGTTCTGATGTGAAAGAAGTCTGTGGTAACTTCATGTTTAGGTATCTTTAGTCATGTATACAGATCATCTTTAGAACTGGCGTAGTACATGTAACAACTTGTACTTTCACATGACAAAAACACCAAAGTGCAATGAAGTAAGCTGTATTTACATAGTGATCAGTGCCATTTTCTTGAAATACATTGACATTAGGGACCGTATTGGGAACCCTAATTCCTTCATATGCTGGATGACGTTGCACAGAAACTGACCTGTAGATTGTGAATTTGAACACGCTGTTGTCATTTTATCTTCAATATAGCAATTAAGCTATTAGAGATTCTATGCTGATGATCTTGTGAGACAGTGTACTGTTCTGTTGTTACATCACCGTCATATCAAAGTCTTAGATCTCCATATCATCATTGTCAGGACGTAACTTTGTCTGTCCATTTTCTTTGCTTTTCCACTCACTGTCCACTCTATTAGACACTCATAACCTTGTTGGTTCACCTTGTAGATGTAAAGTCAGAGACGATAGCTCATCTGTTGCTGCACAGTTTGTGTTGGTCATCCTCTAGTTCTTCATCAGTGGTCACAGGACGCTGCCCACAGGACGCTGTTGGCTGGATATTTGGTTGATGGACTATTCTCAGTACAGCAGTTTAAAAAACTCCAGCAGCACTGCTGTGTCTGATCCCCTCGTACCAGCACAGCACACACTATTACACCACCACCACCAGTGTTACTGCAGTGCTGAGAATGATCCACCACCCAAATGATCCCTGCTCTGTGGTGGTCCTATGGGGGTCCTGATCGTTGAAGAACAGGGTAAAAAGGGGCTAACAGAGTATACAGAGTAACAGATGGACTACAGTCTGTAATCATAGAACTACAAAGTGCCCCTATATGGTCAGTGGAGCTGATAAAATGGACAGTGAGTGTAGAAACAAGAACGTGTTCCTAATAAAGTGCTCAGTGAGTGAATATATGTATGTCTATGTGTGTGTATTGACCCTTCAGTCCATTGGTACTAATGCAGGCTGAAGCCCAGTGCAGGCTGTACATTATGGTAGAATCCATGATTGTAACTCTCATGTTCAGTTACAGCCTTTAAAGGTCAAGTTCCACTGACTGCTCTCCTAATCAAACCAAAGTTATTTACAGCTGCTGCAACGCCATGGTGGAGGGAGGCCCTGAGGACTGGTTTGAGAACCGCTGCACAGTGTTAGCGCTGGACAATGCCTTCAGCAGACCAAGCTGGACAGGAGAAATCTGGATGAATCAAACTAACGAAAGCAGCAGCAAAGTGGAGCTCCAGTTCCCCTCAAGAGCCACCACTGTAACAAGAACCCACAAACTGTATGAATGAGAGGCTACAGTCACAGAGTTGGAACCATAGACTGTGGGTGTGTGTATATGTATGTGTGTATATATATACACACCCACACACACACACTGCTTGGAATAAGCAGCTGTTGCGGTCAGTGATGAAAATTGGAAACTGTAGAAATCGTTTGTTTTTTATATTCAGGTTCATGTGAATCACTCAGTGACATAACAGTGAAAACATTATTGAACTGAATTATTGTATGCAAAAGTTTGGGCACCCCACCCCCAACTTAGTCACCTACAAAATCAACAGAACATGTAATTTGACCAAGGGAGCTCAAAGTTTTGCATATGACTGCCCGTCTGTATACAAACAAATACATGCCGTGTTCTGCAGGGCCTCTTGGTCTGAGGTCTTGGCCGTTGCATCTTTTCCCAGCAAGATTTGCCTTTTGTTATGCTTCTTTGTTTTTGTGCTTCTCTGTGAATCTTCAAAGCAATGACCTGACATGAAGTTTCTCATCAAAAGCACTCAACACCTGGCCTTGGTCTTACTTTCTGTGTGAGCCTGAGTCTCTGTGTGGAGACAGTAAGGCTGTGTAGGAGGTTCTGTGTGAGTAGAGGGAGCGAACAGCTCTGGGTGGTAGTGAGAACTCTGTATTGTTTATATGAACTGAGGTATTTGATGACATTTTGAAGTCTGTATGTGAACTTTTTGGAGGTGTTTTGTATTCTGTGTGTGGATTCTGGGGGAGGGTAAGGGGGGTGCATGCGTGTTTAACATCATTCAGACTCAGACGGAGCTTCGGACTCAAACAGAAGATGCTTGTTTGAAACTCTTGGGTCATCCAAAGCACTCGCTGGTGTGGACAACTGTCATGATAGTGATGCATACAATAAAAGAAAAGAACTGAAGAGTGGCTCCAAAACTATTAATCATATAAATGGGATAATGGAAATGTAGTAATACAAATTGAAGTAACAATACTAATAATTTGTTTACATGGCAATCCATGCCAAATTTAGATGTCCTTATTTTACTTGCACATTGGTATAAACAAATGCTGCGGTTGTTCTTTGTTCTGAAAGGAAATGATGGGACCATGAAAATGGTTCTATATAGCATCAAAAAGGGTTCTTCTGTTGCTAGCTTGATATTGCAACAATGGAAGAACCCTTTTTGGTGTTGTATGGAGCCATTTTCAAAAAAAGGTTCTATATAGAACCATATGCAACACATTCTCCATCAACCTGAAGAACCATTTCATCATGAAAAGAACCATTTAAGCATGAAACGGTTCTAAATAGAACCATTGTCTTTACTAAAGAACCTCTGAAGAACCATCTTTTTTTAAATGTGTAGTGCCGAAGCATCTCATACACTGCAGTAACACAGCGTTGGTCTGTTATTGTAGGAAAACAATCTACACTGCACAGTCACATCATTCTATCATCCAAAAAGCTGATACGTTTTGTTTATTTCACATTTTATTATTTGAAGTTCGGTCAGTAGGGGGAGCTGTGCACTCAAACTCCGCCTGCGAGCACAGCCATTGGCTCACGAGTCGCTGAATGCCCTCGTTTTATTGGCTCCCAACTGAAACAGCTTCACGTAAATGATATGTAAATGAGGCGCTGGAAGGCGGGGCTTGATTTTACTCAGGCGCAGAGTAGTTCGTACCTCATTTCGCGCTTCCATGAATGACGGTCAGTGCGTTGTAGTTTTTCTCATTTTTGTGTCATTATTTTTACTGCATGAACATCACACTGTATAATCTAATAGAGTCGGCAGTGGGAGTGTGATCTATATATGGTGTAGGACGAGGTATATCTTACAGTAACTATAGCATTACTAGTAGTGATTTCGTTCTTTTATATGATGTCATTAATGATTGAAATTTCTATGTAATATGTATTTATGATTTATTATAGTAGTAGTAATTTCAGTATTTTATCATTAATTATATATTTTTTTAATTTAATACGTATTTTATCATAATAATAATAATAATAATAATCTTGTTAGGGCAGCTGCTGTTGAATATTTACATTTTTGAATAATATCTCGGATAAACAAATATTCTTTACGTCTAAGAAAAGCTAAAGACGTTTCACATTGTTGATATTATTACATTTGTTGTTCTTATTAGTAACTATTATTATTATTATTAGTAGTAGTAGTAGTAGTATTTTGCACCGTTGTATAAATATTTATTTAATTTCCTTTTATTAAAATAAAATACTAAAAGGTAATGAAAAAACATTGTTGATTTAAATAGTAGTGTGTGTGTGTGTGAATGTGTATGTCTGCCCTGCGATGGACTGGCGACCTGTCTAGGGTGTATCCTGCCTTCCGCCCAATGACAGCTGGGATAGGCTCCAGCACCCCACCGCGACCCAGAAGGATAAGCGGTTTAGATGATGGATGGATGGATTTAAATAGTAGTTGTGGTAATTTTATTATCATTAATGCCATTTTCCTTTTAAGAATTTCAGAATTTCGGAAATAATCAATAAGCCTGTATTATTATTATTATTACTACTACTAAAATTGCTGTTGTTGTTGAATATGGGGTCAGTACAGTCAGTAAGACACTAAAAGGCTGCTGTAAATCTTGTCTGAACTTCATTAATAATTCCACTGTCTGACGGTGCTGTGTGGTGCAGTGTGGTACGGTGGCCACTAGAGGGCCGTAATGTTTTTGTATCCTACAGTTACTGTTCTGCTCGGTAGACAAACTGCGCATGTAACGTCCATTTTGCCCTTACAATCATGGCGGCGTACAGGAGAGCCGGAGCTCTGCGTCGCCTCTGTCCGCTCCTGACAGCACAGTGAGTCTGACATTATTCCTCTGACCGGTGAGAGAGAGTTAGATGTGCGGTTCTGACTGTGAGGCTGTGAGAGCGGCTTCACAGCGCCGCACTGCGCGGCTCTGAGTGACGCAGTGAGTCCTGGCGGCTCTGTTTACTTCACTGGATTTGTGTTTATGATCTCAGTGAGAGAGAGAGAGACAGACAGACAGACAGCACTGCAGCTCCTGTAGACCCCTGCACTGCTCTGTCTCCTGTGCTCCTCTTCACACCAGACAGAATTTTACCACAAAGCTGCAAAGCAGGATTTCTCAGTTAGGCAGATCACTTAAAGGGGAATTCCACCGATTTTTCGAATTTGTTGTATAAGTCAGTGGTTGAAATATACACGGTTTTTTCTGGAGTGGTTCGATGTAAAATGGTGCGTTAGCAGAGAAACATACAGACTCCGATTTCTTTACAGTGGTGGTGATAGAAACCAGATGTCTACAGTCTAAATATTACAGTTTTACTTACTATCAAAAACCACCAGTGAACCTACACGTGCCTTCTGAGCTATTATATGTGATGTTGATGATGATGAAATAGTGTTCAATCTGAGAAAAAAAAAAATTCTTTGGGGACTGTTTTGCATTAGAACACCCTTCATGGATCTCTTCACCACGAATAGATAAAATGCTTTTTAGACCAAAACTTTCTCACAGAACAATGTCTCAGATATAAGCGTGTTTTAATGACTATTTCATATAATAACTTTCTGTGGGGGAACATTTAAAGGTGGACACCTCCACTGTACACAGTTCTGAGTCTTAAGTTTCTCCAGAATGAAGCATTTCACACCAAACCACTCTGAGTGACCATGTTGACATCTAAACCGTTTAAGTATGCAGAAATTTTGAAAACTTAGTGGAGTTCTCCTTTAAGCCACAGGTCAGGTTTGTCCAAATGGAGAAGCATTGTGGGGAATCCTGGTTGGATTAAGTTAAACTGCAGTCGTAAGCCACCTGGTGAACCTCTTTATCCATATCTAAGGTAGCTGAAGGCACAACCCTGAAGTCAGCTTCCTGTTCTCCAGCTTCTTATTAGAATTTTCCGTTCCACCTTAAATGGTGCAGCAGTTACATTCTGGCATCTCAGGCACCATTTAAGGTGGAACGGAAAATTTGCATAAGGCATTAACTTCAGGTAGGTATAAGCTGGTCTATCGAAGATGAAGGGTAGTGCACTAAATAAGAAAACAGTAGCTAGTAATCATTCGATTCCTTACGGTGGAGTTCTTTGTAACTGAGACGTGAAGGTTGTTGCTTACTTGCTCCGTGTTGTTCACAGGAGAAATCCTGCGTGTGGTTATCATGCAGTGGTGCTCAGCAGGCCTCCCTTCAACACACTGCTTATGAGGACATGGCCACAGGCAACAACACCCATGTTTGGTAAGTGCCCAGAGTGAGGCATATGTAATTCAGTGCAGTCTGAACTTTGTGCTCCCTTGGTTTCAGGACCCAAGTGGGTGGGGGCCGGATCAAGCCGTGGCACAATCCAATCCGGCCCTCGAAATTATTTAGATTTTCTGTTAATATTAGCCCATTTCACAATCAGCAGCACTACAATCCGCGCTGACACCCCACTCCCACCAACAATCTATGGGACAGCAGTTTTCTACCCATTTGCAAAGTGGTATCAGTAAACACACCAGCTGTGTTTTAGCTTCAAACCAACCAACATAAACTCCATAAACACTATAAATACTCAGCAGCTCAGGAAACTGATCCCAAGAATGAATGAACCTGCAGAAAGAAAAGATATCAGGTGTCGAGACCAAACACACAGGTAGGTTTGAAAGATCTACATCCTGGGGACATTTAAAGAGATTTAACGGGTATCTGTAGCTAATGTAGCCTAAATACATCAAGTACTTACATGTAATATTTGAAGGTTCAGTACAAGTGACTATATTTTGCTGTTGACGTTCGGCGTATTAAAGTGTAAACGCTGTCTGGCCGTCAGACTTGTTGAGATTTTTTTATGTGGCCCTTTTAGAAGCTGAGTTTGACGCCTCTGGTGTAGGAGAAGTGGTCAGTCTTTATTATTGATTTGATGGGCTGTAGATCTGTGTCTTGTACTTTGTCTGTTGTTTAATTTTGTTAATCAGTAAATGTTCTGAATGTTGCATGTTACTTTATACTTGTTCACAAATATTGTTGTTGTTGTTATATTTATTATTATTATTGCCCTTAAAGAAAAGTCACATATATTTGGCATGTGTAGTGTGCAAAAAGAAGTGTTTTATTCACTTTACAGAAATTAATTTCTGTAAAGATAGTATTATTACTATTATTATTATTATTATTATTGTTATTATTGCAGTGCCAGTCATTATCCTGCTGGAGTGAAAACGAAATAGTATCTGTCTTTCTCTGTGTTTAGTGAGGAACATGTTCATTCAGACTCAAGACACTCCAAACCCAAACAGTCTGAAGTTCCTTCCTGGCCGTAATGTGTTGGAGATGGGGACGATGGACTTTGCGTCTCCCAGAGATGCCTTCTGCTCTCCGCTGGCCAGGTGATGACCTCTTGCAGGATACTTTAACATTAATAAGTTGGAAAGGCCAAAAAGAACCAGTGATGCCACATTTAGAAAGAATTATCAACAACTATTATCAGAGTCCAGATGATGTTATCTGACGTATTACATACTGCACTGCACTAAATCCAGTTAAAAAGACGTAATGATGCACTTTTTGTAATGAAACATGCTGATGCTCAGTGTTCCAGAAGTAGCGACGATACCTATGATTTGATAAGAAAAGCATATCATATTTTTTTAGAATTAATCACAATAGCATTATTGTTATATTGCCGAGGCCTAATTTCAGCACTGAAAATGAGATTAAATGTGTTCATAAATAAATAACATTCCCGCTCTGATTTGGTCTCAAACGTGGGCTAAAGATGAGTGGACATCAGAGCTGTGATGTTATTCGTGATAATACATAACCTTTTATTGTTATTGCTTTTGTACAAACTGAACTGTACAGGTCCATTTCTTGTTCATCAAGGTACAAACAATGTAAATGTACCTTCAGAGGTACATCAGTGGTTTTAGGGTCCAACTGTGAACCTTAAATAAGTTTATCCAGGTGAAAAGTACATAATTGTACCTTTTCAATCTAAAGTTTTAAAACAGAACAATAAAATAAAAAGCCGGGAGATGAGACGGGGTGTGTGGAGCCAGTATGACTTCAAAGGTATAATTGGAATGGATTATGGTACAATCATGCTCCCTAACTGAAGAGATACCCTTGAGGGTACCGCCCCAGTGACAAGAGGACACAAGGGGTACCACCCCAGTGATAGTACCTTTTCTTCTTAGATTGTAAGGGAAAAAGTAAAGCAAATGAGCCCTGAGTATTCTTTCAAATATATGTTTATTGGTAGTTTCTTCCACCAAAAAAAGTAGTTCTGCCAAAAGTGGTGTGTTTCATGCTAAAAATTATTTTTAGTTATTAGTTATTTTAGTTATTTTTCAGTTATTGCTAGCACATAAGCTAATGCAGCTGGTAATGCTGGTGAATTTGTATCACTGTTTAACTTAAGCGCACTAAAACATCTACTGATGTCACATATCTTCACACTCCGACCAAAGGGTGGACCCACAAGTCAGATGTTACCTTTTCTTATTATTTTATTATTGTTGTGATATCTTAATATTTTTTATGTTTGTATTTGTTTAAGTATAGTTAGAGGTCAGCAGCAGCTTAGAGTAAAAGGAGTCATTATTGTAATTAATGATCAGCAAAATATGCACGTATGCTAATATACAGGTAGAGGTCTTTGGAGGACTTTAGAGGACTGGGTGCCAAGACAGAATAAGTGGGCTTCCTCTCTTTTGGTGGGCAGGATGGTCCATCCTCTCCCCTCATCACTTAGTGCAATGCTAGTCAATGCAGGCATCTGTTAGCTGACAGAACCAACAATTAACATTCTCCTCCTTTCTAATGACGTTGCCTTAGAAGCAATTCTGAAAGATGCGCCGGTGCCCCGTGTGATGTGGTGGAAGCACCGCTCAGGCTTTATGGTGTCTTGTTATAGATAAACAAAATTAGGGAGAATATTGTGTTTTAAATAAATACATAAACAAAAAAACAGGGTACTAATTGTTCATTGTAGTCAAGTCAAGTCAGGAGTCAAGCTTTACTTCTCAGTATGTGATCCTATCTGCAGACAGCTGTTCAGAATTGATGGAGTGAAAAGCGTCTTCCTGGGTCCAGACTTCATCACCATCACCAGGGTAGGAAAAGGTCACCTAAACTACGTTGTAATAAAAGATGACCATGTATAAACGACTAACTGTAGGACATCTGACAACAGACGAACGCAGATATGGAGTGGAAGGTGATCAAGCCGGACGTTTTTGCTACCATTATGGACTTCTTCACTTCTGGACTTCCTGTTGTTAATGAGGATGCAGCTCCAAGTGCAGACACTGGTATCATGAGATTGACATTAATGTTTTTATTAAGTGTGTTTATGAAGTCAGAGAGTCTTATTAGTTAAAAGGAATTCCACAGATGTTACAGGCTTTAACAGGCCTTAACGTCTGTTCAGCGCTGCTGCCATGGTAACGCTGAATAATGGCGCACGCGCAGTGGAAAATAAGCACATGAATTCCGATCTGAGCTTCACGTTAAGATTGCATGGCCACAAATCGGATACGTATCTGATCTAGGACCACATATGACAGTGGCTCAGGTCAGATTTGAAAAGATCAGACCTGCATGTCCACACAGCCCTGAAAACATCAGATCTGAGTCACATTATGGCAAAAAAATGGTAATGTGAACGTAGCCAGAATTTCTACTTGTTTAATTGGTGAAGTCATTCAGTGTTGAATGTATAGTGATTTTTATTTATTGGTGCAAAATGTTAACTTTTTTATGCAAAATGTACAATTTTTGCATGCAAAATGCTCCATTCTAGAGAAATTTACAGTCAGAATTAGCAGTGTTGGTGATAGGAACCAGAGTTTAATGCCTGTAAAAGCTCCTTCACAGAAAGTTGTTATATGAAATTGTTACAAACAACCCAAAGGAGAACCCAAAGGTTCTCTGATTTTGAACCGTAAATAAAATGATTATATTTGTATTGTACACATTGTGACCCCTGGTTCCTATCACCACCACTGTAAAGAAATCTGAGTCTGTAAGTTTGTCTAAAATGAAACATTTCACATCCTTAAATTACTGTGTTTACATCTCAAAGGTAGATTTTTTGGAACAATAAAGTGGACGCTTGTTTAAAGAAAGCTTTATGTTATGAGCTAGCTTTAATCTGTGCCAGGCCACATTAGCATTTGGGTTGACGTTCCACTTTAAAGGAGTAGTTTGGCCACCATTCCGATTTACAGATTTGCTCTTATACCAAAAGTAGTCAGTCAGCCAAGGCAGTTTTGTGTCCAGAGTTTCTTTATTTAGTTTTCTAGTGGAGCTATAAGCTAGTCAAGTATATAGCTCAACGGGTAGTGGTAGCCCAGCCAAGTAGCATCTAGTATAGTTGTCTCACAGGGCCAAGTCGTGATCTTGTAACAGGAATATATGTCTGGGGACAACTTGTTAAACTTGCCGAGTGGTACACCCCCTCTAAAACCCACCACAAAGTCCTGTAGTCCATACTTCTTTAACGTCTGGACTGCAATCGATAACATAAGCAAAACATGCTTAATCAAGAGTTTTTGGGGACTTTTCAGTCGTGCTAACTTATGTCACATCCACGGGCTAACGACAGGCTTGTCTGTCAGACAATGTTGATGAGCACAACATCACGCTATATTTTGAGCTGCACCTTCACGAGGCATTAGGTTGGTTCAAAAATTTGACTTTGTTCCCTCCCTAATATCTACATTCACACCCACATTTAGCCCAAAATATCTCATGGTTTTCCACAGATGTTCATTAGAAGATCACATTTGACCCTGTGAGACTACAGTTATAGCTAAAAACAGTAGTAGCAGCCATAATAAAGCCTGAATTTTATCTAAACCTTTTCTTTTTTAATAAGTAACACTAAGAACTTTGTTCTGCAGCTCCCTCAGATGATGATGATGAGGTCGTTGCTATGATCAAAGAGTTGCTGGAGACACGGATTAGGTACCGTTACACTCACCTACTGACTTACTGACTTACTTATACTGTTTACATGTGATGAAACTTGCTAAGAAGGGACTGGCATGTTCTATAATTATTGGCAGTTAAATTAAGTAATTCGATTTGTGCTTGAATTGTCAGAGGTCAGCCAATAAACACCAACATCAGCTCCACAAACCTCTGTTTTGACTAATAAAATGTATATAAAGCTGGAGATTCAGATAAAGATTTGTTTTATGATTGAAAGTGAATAAATAACAAGCTAAAACATGGTGTGTGTGAGCTGCTGCGAGTCTCCCTGTAAAGCCTGAAATTATAATATAAAAGTCGGAGGTGTCTGGTTGGATTTGGTGGGAGGTTTTTTTTAGACCACGTCGTACGTCTTTTACGTATTAACGCCACATTCACAGGTTCAGAAACGAGATCCAGCTCAGTGTTTGGGTCTCAAATGCAAAATCAACATTATACTGATAAAGATATGAAGTTTAGTAGATAATTGACTCACATGCATAAAAGGCACGTCCTTCAGCAAGTTTTGAGTTCTCTTTTGAATTCTCTTTCAACACACTCACAATCATCGGATTCATCCAATTAAGGAAGGGTCCCGAAGCACCACCCACGTTACAAAATGTTCTTCTGCACATTCTGTGCAATTACACGTTTCTATAGCTGAATTAATTAAAGGGTGCACTTTAAAAGAACATCTGAACTGATTAGAAACATTTTTTGCTGCTTTCCTCTCAGACCCACGGTGCAGGAGGACGGTGGGGACGTGCTGTATCGGGGCTTTGAGGATGGCATCGTGAAGCTGAAGCTTCAGGGCTCGTGCACCAGCTGCCCGAGCTCCATCATCACGCTGAAGAGCGGCATCCAGAACATGCTGCAGTTCTACGTCCCTGAGGTGGAGGGAGTGGAACAGGTAAGACCCCTTTTAATGAAAGGCTTGACCAAAAACAACTAACACGTCAGTGATTTAGAAGTAGTGGGGACCAGTTTGCATTTCATTTGCATAGATTGCTAATGGACTAGCTTTTTTTGGGGGGATGTTTTTAAGGCAGTGGTTCAGTCAAAAGTCAAATTTACACAATATGTGTAATCAGACTTTATACTAGTGACCCAATGACGTGGGAGCTATTGCTCTCATTGTCTATCGGAAAGAAAACTGATGCACAACTAGAGAGCAATAGTTTAATATTAAACAGCTTACTAAATTATATTAAATAACATCCACGTATTCTCTTTTACTGTCAAAACAGTGAATTATTAATAATCAGGATATTACTAAGCCCCTAGCCTACACTAGAATAGATTCCCCACTGTCTCTGCGGCGGGTTTCCCAGAGTGGGACAGACCATCCGAGCAAAATTCCCAGCGTTTTCTGTTTAGTTTAAGTGTCTCTGTTTATTTGTTTAAAGTGTGTGGGCGTGGCCTTGAAACTCCCTTACATGTGTTTAAAAACAAGAAATAGCATGATTGACCCACCCGCACTGCAACTCTTGAATGCTTGAGTTTGCAGTCACAGCTGTCAGAATGAGAGGTGAAATAATTTATTACCAAAAGATGTTGTTACACAATATTATTTTATGTGATCTCATTAATAGATAGATAATATATCGAGATGGCATAGAAACTAGGTCTAAGCTGCCGCAGACCGTATGTGTGTTTGTAGGGGGTTGGTGGGAGGGGATGATATAATCAATAATCCTTATTTTCATTTCACAAGTAAATATTGCCCGGGCCTACAGCCAGATGTGTGTTAGGGATGAGTCTAAATATTCAAATTGTCACACTCATTTACTCATTCTCATATTTAAAAAACAAAAACATGTCTGAGCTCTATAATCTACCACAGGTCACTGTAAAAGTTTGGTTAGAGGCTCCAGTCTGTTTAAAAGTAACTTAATCTGAAACATATGTATACATCTTAAAAACAGCTGTTATTTATAGTGACTATAGTGATTATTTTCAGTAATGTAATTTTCGGTCATGGCTAAAATGTATTATTCCATATTGTTAGTGGTATAAACAAGGCAATTAAGCGATAATCTACTTCATGGAGAGGAGGTTCTTCTAGGTGGTAAGTGGGCAAATCTGATTAAGGCATCCAAGTGCAGCAGAGAAATGCAAAAATAAAGAGGAAAGCAAAAAGTTTGTTGTTTCACTCCAAAAGCTAACCTCATGTTTCTATTCAGAACAGTGTGTTATGCAGGCTCAGCGGCCACAAATGATGCTAGCATTAATGTTAATGTAGATAGCTCCAATGTTGGGGTTATTATTTAAAACAGTAATCAATTATAAATTACTAATTACTTTTCTCAAATTGTCATCATTAGGTCACTTATTATCTATTACTTATTATCTATTACTTGTAATTATTTCCAGTAAAATGCAATCTGTACTTTCTATGTTACTCTGTACTAAATTATGTCACTACATTGATGGATAGTTTTGCTTGTTTCAGACACATTATTTTAAAACTAGCAAAATAATCCGCCAGTATTTTGAGCAAATTTCACTTAAAATTACAAAGTAAAAGATGTCTAGAAATAAGTTAAATAATCTTACAGTATTCTCACACCAATCCCAAAATGAGAAATATTTGATATAGTGACTAGATGTCATTTTTGCAGTGTAAATGGTTGCGCCAAGCTCAGAGCCTCAACTAATTTAAAAATGTGCATCCAGGGAGCTCCTTGCTTGTCTTTTGCCCACAGCCTCAGGATTACTAAATCCACCCCTGGAAACGACGGTCTGTAATGATTGGTGTACAACATGTGCTTTGTTAGTTCTGCACTGGAGGCTAATGTAGCTAACAAGTAAAGGAAGCTTTAAACCCCAACCCTTTAAAATCTTGAAAACAGCAAACTTAAAGCATATATTTCCCTCGAGCCACAGCAGTTTGATCTCAAATGGACTTCACAGACTTTACGGAGAGTTTACACAATTCTACTTCAACTAAATCAGACTTCAGACACTAAACTGGCCACGTTTGGTGTGATGGGGAAAACTGTGTACATTGATTTACGGCCGATGCATCATGTCAATGAAACGAGGTTTGAAGGTTTTGAAGTGGTCAGATTGTGTTCTTGCCTTCCTCCTGATATCTACGCTTCTTCGCAGGTGAAGGATGAGGACGAGGGAGTGGAACAGGAAGCCCAGCAATGAGTGTTAGTCAGCAGAAATCTTTCATCTGGACTACAGTGGACCCCTTCTCTCAGTGCTGTCCAGTGAAGTAGAAGAAGAACTGAGAACAGCACTCCGGTGGATTGCAGTGGGACATTATTGGGGGCAGAGTAGGAACCACTTACTTAAGCAGAGCGTGGACAGAGCTGATGTTTTATAGGTTCATAAAGAACACGCAGTAAAACCTGATATAAATGCTGTTTTAACAGATCATTATGGGATTTCTGCTTCTGTGATAATATTCATTGTTTTACCCCCCAAAATCACACAAGAAAGAGTTTTTTTCATTTTTGTTGTTGAAAACATTTGAATTTCCTTTTGTGTCGTTATACTGTATTAGCTGTGTGAATGCCTCTCATGGCAGTATTGTGCACTTCTCATATTTATAGCACTTTCAGGGTTCTGCTTGATATTTCTGGCAATAACTCAAGACGCACAAATAAAACAGGGGATGATGGGCATCCACCTGTATGTTTTCTCGCAACAATCTTTTATTTCATTGTATAATTGTAGAGTGTGTGTATTAAGAGCAAAAATAAAACAATGCGCAGAAATATTGATACATTTGTTCTCATTCCTGTCAGATTTTTCATTAAATATACATCACTTTTAATAGGTCACACTTTATTCTAAAGGCCTCATGCAGTCACATGCTAAAGTTTGAGTGCCCATCATCAAATCTTTACTTTTTTACGTTAACACATCTTCTACAGCAGCCATGTCAAACTGGGGACCTTCTGGGCCAAAGTGCTGTGAAGATTAGCGTTTACCCTCATCTACTGCTCTGAATTCAGTTCATGAAGGCCTCGCTAATTAGCCGATGAGCTGAATCAGGTGTGTTTAATGAGGCTGAAGTCTGCAGTGTTTTGACCTGCAAGTACTGGAGCCTGACACTCTACAGAGAACACACTTCTGCACATTTTATTCCACAATTAGGTTTTTTTTGTTGGGTTTTTTTTTTGCTGAATTCAAAATATGGTGGAAAAAATAAAATGTGGCCTGTGCACAAATCATTTAGAGCATTTATAATGATTTTCTTATAAAAAATTGCACAAAAATTTGTAGAATAACTTTTTAAGTTTTTAAACACATATAAACACATTTAAGTTTGTTCCTTATAGAAAATGTGAAACTTACTTTTGCTTAGACCTGATTAGAAAATTGTCTAATCAGGTATAGTTTTGACTTACATTGGCTGAGCATGTACCTCTATATGAATAGATTTTAAAAATGGCCAAAAGCTCAAAACTATTGTAAAACAGTGTCTCAGGCATCAAACAGCTTATTCACAAACATTAAATATTTCATGTAATATAACGTTCTGTGGTGTAGTTTTAAAAGGGGTCAAACTCTTCAGATGTCTGTTTCATATTGCACCACTGTGAACAGTTCTGATTCACATCAGAACATTCTGAATGACCACGTAAAACTCAGTCCTTCAGATGTAAACAGTGTCATTCAGAGTGGTTTGATGTGAAATGGTTCATTGTAGAGACTCTGATTTCTTTACAGTGGTGGTGATAGGAACCAGGGGTCACAATGTGTACAATACAAATAGAGCCATTTTATTCACCGTTCAGAACCACCAGTGAACCTACACACATCTTCTTTTTATATGTAATGTTGATGATGGTAAAATAGTGGAAAATCTGGAAAAATACATTTTCTGTGGGGACTATTGTGTCCTGCACATATCCCTTCTCCATGAATGTATTGAAATAAATGGATTCAGAAGACGTTTCAAGCCAAAGCTTTCTCGCAGATCATCATAAAGCAGTGTGTCAGGCATCAGGCAGCATATATCTGACCATTTCATGTAATAACTTATTGTGAGGGAGCTTTTAGAGGTGGACGTCTGGTTCCTATCAAAACCACTGTGAACAATTCACACCAAACCACTTTGTTTACACCTCAACCATTTAATCATGTAGAATTTTTTTTTAAATGGTGGAGTTCCCCTTTAATACTAAAGCAAAGGTTTGTATATATATTTACTGGTTTTCACCATAGAAATCACAATCGAATTAGTCTTGATATTACTTGGTATCGGATCGAAAAGAAAGTGTGTAGTATCGCCCATCCCTGAGAGACACTCCTCCCTTTTCCCTTACCCCAGCTTAGCTATCCAATCAGACTCATGCTACGTACCCTACGTACATCACACTACCGGCACAGTAACTTGCGCAGGTCATATTACGTTGTTTTCCGGCGAGGTCAGGGCCGGTGCCGGTTCACCAGGTTCACACGTCACCCCTCAAATCACTACTAACAACGACACTGATGACAGTTAAAACACTACGAAAGCAGGTGTTTGTCGACAACATGGACGCATCCTGCTGCCACGTATAACCTGCCTCCGTAGGCAAGGTAGCGTGTGGACAGATCGACAGCTACCTCCACCAATCAGAGCCGTATACGGAGGCACAGCCTGGGCTCTCGTCCAATAGAATGTGACGGGGCGGGACCTGCATGACACCGATTCACTCGGAGGAGGAACTCCGCTCAGCAGTAGTTGTTGGAGACAGTGCCGAAGACATGTGTGGTGAGTGGGACATGAAAATGAATTTATTCTTATTTTTTCCACGCCTAGTATTTTCAGCAGATACTCTCAAGCGAAAATAGGTTTGTGTGGACTAGTCTGTGTCAACGCAGCGGTGAAAATAGCGCCGCAAAACAGAAAAACGTCTCTGGATGAAACCACGTTAGCATGGTTAGCATGTGGGCAGCACCAGCTACACTAATCTAACTGCTGCATAGTTGTCTGTATCTGTCATTTAATGTAATTCAGGGCGTGTTATTAATACACAGACAGGCGACGTGGAGGCTACAGAGACATGGGTTAGACTGTTTTCACTCTGCTTTGACAGCTTTATGGCTCTTAAAGGGGATTTCCACCGATTTTTCAAAATTTCTGCATGATAAAAAGGTTAAGATGTGAACCAAGTCCATCAGAGTTGTTTGGCGTGAAGTGGTTCATTTGCTTCCTAACAGTGTTTCTATATGTAACGTTGATGATGATAAAATAATGGTCAAATCTTGAAAGATGACTTTTCTTTTGGGACTGTTTTGCTTTAGCACACCCTAAATGTGTCCCTCCACTATAAATGGACTAAAATAGTTTGGTTAAAAAACGTTTTCGACCAAACTTTATCACAAAACTACCATGGCTAAAACAACGTTTCAAACGTCAGGCAGGGTATTCGTAACCATTTCCTGTGATGACTTTCTGTGAGGTGGACGCCTGGTTCCTATCACCACCACTGTGAACAGTTCTGACTTGGTAAGTTTCTGTAGAAAAAAAAACAAGCATTTCACACCAAAACACTCTGAATGATTTTGTCGATATGTCAACCGTTTAATTACACAGAAATTTTGAAAAATCGGTGGAGTTCCCCTTTAAGAGCTGAACTCTTTATTAGGGGAGAGTGGGCTTGTTAGCTGTTTTCCATGCTTCATTTAAGTATATGAGTGGGACATGCATTAGACTTCTTCAGAGGCTTTTCTAGTTTCACTATCTGTCTTTCGCTTGCGTTGTGTTGGGACGCTCATTCCTACGTCAGCTGACTAGGAGGATGGCAGTGATAGGTATCATCAGCAGCACAGTAACTTAGGAAGTCTGCGTTAGTTAGATTGGGTTCCTCAGATAAGCCTTAGACAAATACCCGGACCTGCTTTAGTCAATGGTATCAGGATCTTCTTTAGTCACTGATAGATGCCAGGACCTGCTTTAGTCACTGATAAATATCAGGATCTGTTTTAGTCACTGATAGGTGCCAGGACCTGCTTTAGCTCACGCAGTCAGTGGTAGGTCTAGAACAGGCTTGTCCAACTTATTTCTTTCAGTACTTCTTCCTGAACCCAGAAGACAGCGAGGAGTGTTTTCAGTAAAACCTGTTTGAAAGGTCTTATGCCTTTTGTAGTGTCAGTACTGTCCCTGAATTTAACTAAGAAAGACTGTGCTAGACAGAGCCTTCACTTACAATGAAATACAACACTCTCAGAAATGTTGTGTTCATTAGAAACAAACTTTGTTGCCACTGTTTTAACTAGAGCTGGGCAAAATGACAATATCTGTCTTTACTGTGATAAAATGTGTCACATTACAGCTCAGTATTTGTTATCCTGCGTATCGTTAATATTGTCAGTACGTAAAGAACACTGATAAACAATGTGTTTCATTAAAGAGAGCATGATTAGGCTTGCTTAACTGGATTTAGTGTGATGCAGTGTGAGAAATAATGAAAAAAAAACATTGTTTGGCACTGCTGGGCTTTTTATTGAACTTATCAAACCTCTGAAAAAATATCATATGTATCTTGTTTTGTGGAAATATTGTAAAGTATCATGATGTTATATTTTTGCCATATTGCCCTAAATTTACCACGATTCGTGCCAGGTAGCAGCACAGTATGGCCCTGTTTAGGGTTGTAGATTGTCCACATAAAAATGCAGTTGTAAATGCGTCCAAGATGCATTTAGAGCAACTTAAAATTGCGCAAACCACTGCAGGAGGTGGTCTGAGACACATTTTATGGAAAAGAAGGACACATTTCTCTGCCTCTTATGAAGGAGTCTTCGAAACAGGACAGCCTCGTCATGCCGCTGTGATGCAATCGGCCTTCAAATGCAGCCTCTGGCGGATGCAGCCCCTGAATTGGGACACAGCTATATGTCTGCCCATTTAGGCTACAGCAGTTTAGCTCAGCCCATTTACACTAAAGTTATAAGGAGTGTTTAAAAAAACCTTTTGAATGAGGGTCAGTACTGGGCAGCCAGTGTACAGAGGCCATTTACATATATCTGTGATGCTATGTAGTGCAGTACAGTAATATGACAATATCCGTCTTTACTGTGATAAATTGTCACATTACAGCTCAGTATTACTTATCCTGCGTATCGCTGATAACGTCAGTACTTAAAGAATACAAACAACGTGTTTCATTAAAGAGAGAGCATGATTAGGCCTGTTTAACTGGATTTAATGCAACACGGTATGAGAAATGTTGAATAAAAAAACATTGTATTAATATATATATTTTTTTTAAATTGGCACTGCTGGACTTTTTATTGAACTTATAAAACCTCTGAAAATAATATCATATGCATCTCATTTTGTGAAAATATTTTGAAGTATCATGATGTTATATTTTTGCCATATTGCCCTAATTTTGCCACGATTCGTGCCAGGTGGCAAGAGCACAGTATGGCCCTGTTTAGGGTTGTAGATTGTCCATATAAAAACGCAGTTGTAAATGCATCCAAGATGCATTTAGAGCAACTTAAAATTGCGCAAACCACTGCAAGAGGTGGTCTGAGACACATTTTTACCAGATGTTATACAAGATGCATTTGTCTCTCCAAGCCACATTCAGCAACCAAAGCCCCCCCCGCCACCAATTCTCCCAATAAAAACCCTACTGTACTGCCACAACTAAACCAAGGCATCGCTGCTCCTTTGGTTCAGCTCTTGACGTGAGTTTTTCTTCTTAGTTCAGCAGCCTCCAGCAACCCGAGCAGTTTTAATGAAAGCCCAGGTCTGTTAATGGTTTGCTTTGCTGTGTCGTTATTCTTCTCACCTCAATACATTATGTTTTAATGCACTGGTCCATGACCGCGATGTCTGCTACAGGAGGCTAAATATCTAAATGGCAGTCTTCTTGGAAACATCAGTGTAAAGCTGGAGTAAGGAAGTAAATAATGCTATGGAAATCTGTGATCTTTAGAACAGGAAAAACAAGGAACAGCACAGGACATTGCTTGTTTGCATATTACAGCAGTCAGAATGCAATCGGAATAACCTGCATTGACTAAGATGCATGTGATTACCAAGTTTTAATTCATGTGGTTAAAATCTTATCAAGCCAGATACGCGTCACATGAAACGACCAGGTGAAAACAGGCTTTAATTCTGAAGACACTGCTTGGTTTTCTTATAAGCATCTTATAATGTGTCCATAACTGCATGCGCAGATGTTAAAAAGTACCACACAGTGTTTTGGTTTAAACATGTCTGTTTAAAAGTGAAGTATTCAATTATTAAAAGTAATGTAAACATAAATTGTTGTACATCATATTATATAGCAGACTTAAGTGCTCCCCCACCCAGTCATTACCGACCACATGTTTGCTTTATTCCAGCTCCCAAACACACCTGTATTAAGTGTTTGGTTTAAGTGCACTGAGAGCTGAGGTGGAGCGAAAATGTGAACCATCTGGAGGTCCTCAAAGACTGACGTACTTCCTTAAAAGGGGCCGTATATCGGAAAAGCAAATTCCCTCACGTTTTTTGAAATAGAAACATCCTGTTTGCATATAGTTGTGTCCCAATTCAGGGGCTGCATCATTCGAAGGACTCGGCTTTGTAGACCGCCTTTGTAGACTGATAAGGCTGCGTAGACCCGCAAAGGCAGCACCGAAATGAGACGGATGTCCTGTTTGCATCACAGCACCGCCGTTCCCGCCCTTACTGTTGGATCCTTCGTTGCCATGGAAAAGAAGGACACATTTCTCGGCCACAGATGAAGGAGCCTTCGAAAACGGGACAGCCTAGTCGCGCTGTTGTGACGCAATCAGCCTTCAAATGCTGCCTCTGAAGGATGCAGCCCCTGAATTGGGACACAGCTATACGTCTGCCTATTCAGGCTACAGCAGTTTAGCTCAGGTCGTTCACACTGAAGTCGTAAGGAGTGTTTAAAAAACTTTTTGAATGAGGCTTAGTACTGGGCAGCCAGTGTACAGTGGCCATTTACATATATCTGTGATGCCCTATAGTGCAGTACAGTAGCACAATAACAAAAACAGCCTGTTTCATTCTAAGAAATAAAGAGAGGTTAGAAAACAGTCATGTAAAAATGAATTAAATTACTGTTTTTGGTACATAAAGCCTCAGTGGGAAATGTTGAAATGCAAGAAAAATGTGGGATATGCGCCGTTTTAAAAAAAACAAACAAATCAGCACTATTGAAGTCTAGATGCTTAAAGCGCCTAAATCAGTTTGCAAACTTGCATCTCATTTTCATGAGTTTATATTTTTGAACGTCCAGTAGTTGTGGCCAAAATGCCAATGGAATGACCAGATTCTGCTTGGCTACATGTTAGTATACAGATTTGCATCTCCTTTTTCTCAAGCTCGTATGTTTGAATTCAACACCTGCAGACCATTTTAAACTGCATCAGACTTTCTTCTCCAGTCTCACCAGCTCATACTGTTGACCTGCCCAGTCTCTCTCATTCATTTTCTGGAGCCATCTGTGCTCACAAAGCAGAGCCTTGTGTAAGTACCGAACCCCGGCTACAGAACCCTCAACACATACGCGCACTAATGCCCGTGTCCATGTGTAGGACACAGCTGTACTCAATGGCGCTTCTGTTTGATTGCTTTCCACACACAGTGCCACGCTTACATTTACTGCCTGTTGGGCTCCATTTCGGTTTCATGTTATTTGCTCAGAGATGAAATTAATAAAACGAAGTGAGCCATCGCTTGTCTTGAGTTCTGTCAGCTTCCTTTGGGAGTCTTTTCGATTAGGAGTTGTGGGTTGGATGACGAACACAAATCCCCAGTAAAAGGCTTACTTGCTTAAAACAAATGGCCTGAGTCTTAATTAGGGTATCAGAAATGGGGAATAATATTGTACAGCTTTGCTGGTGTCTCTGATTTTAAAAATAAGACCTCCTGCCCCGTCCTTTCATTTCGTAGCCTTTAAGTAAGACCTCTAAGGTGCTGATAGCTGACTGAGAGTCGATTAAGTTTAATCATCTTAATTTAATTCCGTATAGCTGTGTAGGCAAATCCTTTGCACCGTTTATCAGCCTTGATAAACTGGAGCGCTCACTTTCTCGCTCATTATTCCAGCTTAACCAATAGCCGGGAAAAACTCAGGTAACATAAGGCTCAGTAGATATTTAAAGGTAATGAACTCCATTTGAATTGCAGGTGCCCAAGACTATGGAAACAGTGCTGCAAGTTGGCCTTAACACACAGTTGGGATCAACCAAGATGCACTCTCACTGTATTTACAGTCGTATGCAAAAGTTTGGGCGCCCATAGCCAAATTTCATGTGTTGTTGATTTCCTAAAGGAAAATAAGTGAAGTCATGCTCTACGGAGAACACACTGCTGCAGATTTTAATGAAGAATTATGTTTATTTGCTTAATTTCCATATTGGAAAAAATAAAACGTAGAATGTGTCCTGTGCTAAAGTTATGGCACATTTTGTATTTTATGTTTTATTGTTTTCAATATGTTAAACTCAACAAATATTTAGAGTACATTAAAAATATTATTTTTTTTAAAATGCAGGATTAAAAAAAAAAGCCAATAATTTTGGCAAAAATTATTGATCTGTGCATCCCTAAAATGATCTAAGTGCAGTTTTTTAATTTCAATATTGTGGTTGCTGTGTAATTTCTGTAAAATAAGCTGGAGTCTGTATTGGTGGTCTGCATAGTATTAACCACCTGCCAACATAATTGCAAATGTATCTTATTTGGATGAAGTGATGCAATTGTAAACACCACTGTGTATATAACTATAATAATAAATCAGTAAATCGCTGCTATCGAAACAAAACCCTGTATCTCCAAAAAAGGTTATTTTACAGGGCGGGAAAAAACATTCTTAACTTTTAATGGAAGTAAATGGAGAAATATTTTTTCTCAAGTAATTTTGGACCATTTCTGTTGGTTCATTCATCATGAAATTTTGACACAACATAAAGGGCAACTGCCTTTTTCAAATTCTGTCAAAAATGTAGCTTAACTTAAATAAAAAAATAAGTTCTTGACTTAAGGAGCAATAAAAATTTCTAGACGTTTGTGCAGATTTGTACACATTTTACCAGAATACAAACACTGAGCACATCTCAGGAAGGCTCACAACAACAACAACAACATTTATTTGTATAGCGCTTTTTACAACTAGTGTTGTCTCAAAGCATCTTTACAGAAAAGCAGTTTATGGAAGGAAAATAAAAGAAAAATAAAAAGGTCCAGGAGCATCCAAATAAATTTTCCCTGCTTTACAGATTTTCCCTTCACTGAGTTACTAAAAAATCTGGGCTGAGTTTCCCAAAAGCATCTGAGCACAAAGATGATTCTTAAATGGTAGAGCGAGCATCACACTAAACACTCTCTCTACCAGCTGAGATGATCTTAACACTAAGATACTTTAGTGAGCCTAAAGGGAAACTAGGTCCCTGTACTGTACGTATGACTCTAAAATACATCCTACCAACTATTTGCTAGTAATATTATAGTGTATGTAATATGAATCTTAAAAGAATCAAAAATTGCACTCCTTCAAATTTCAGTATACAAACGATTACTCCTTCAGCCATACTTCAAAAATAAAAAATACTTAAATCAAATGTGTGCCTTATACAGTTGCATGCTGTCTAAATATAGGCCAGCAAAACACAGTAGCACTTTTTGCAGTGGAATGTTCCTCCACCCATATACGTATTGTGGGTTAAACCGGTTCTGCTCTGGTTTCTGGTATCTGATAGAAGACTAATACATTGTCAGTGGGTTTTTTTTTCTTTTTTTTAAAAGCCTTAAGATTCCTCTGCTGCAGGGCAAGCCTTTTATCAGTAAACATGAGGCTGTACGAGGAGGAATGAGGGATAAGAGGAGGAAATGTTCAGATTGTGGTTGTATTGTCTTCACTGCCAAGCCAGTTGATGCTGCTTTAGGATATGAAGCGCTGCCTGTCTCTTTAATTAAATAGAAATTTTAAAGAGCTGTTGAAGCTGGAATTCCCCCAGTAACTGTTGGCAAATTGTCATAAAAAGACCTCATAAGACCTGTTTTTTTTATGTTTCAGTGTTTTGTTTTTTTTTTCATTTGCAAATGCAAACACCAGTGCTCTGAACACTGAGATTTCATGACAAATGGACCAATAGAATCACCAGATTTCCATTGTTACAACATTGTACAGTTAATTTAGGGACATCCTTTCCTCTATAAAGTTGTGTACATGTACATGTTTTGTTACAGTGTTGAATATATAAAGAATTTGATATGTTTGTGTACAGCAAAAGTGTATATGAGTGTATAAGTCATATGAAACACATGGTCATGATGAGAGGAGGTGACAGAAGGCCTAATGGGTTGGCTAGTTTAATAATCAGATAAGTCAAAAAATTGTGATGCTCATACAAATATTCATTAGTTATTTACATATCTTTAAGTTTTTGTTTCTCTCTGTGCTGCACTGGTTCTGGTAGAATACAGTCAAAATATGGCTTGATTACCTTAAAAATTCCCAGAGAGACCCGATACATATAAACATATTGGCAGAATGTTTTTTACGTAGTACTGTGTGTCGGTATTGCAGGGGTTGTTTAAATTGTGGTTACATTGAGCTGTTAATTGGTTCGCAGGAAAGCTGATGACTCATCATTTTTAAGAATTTCTCTGTAACTTATTGACATCATAATTTTCATGCCTCCAAACCCAGAAGCCAGATGCTTTGACTTCCTTCCATAACAGACAGCTCATCAAGGTTGTCAGCTAATTGTTGCAGCTTTAGTTTCAACAGCAGTGATCACAGTGATACTGCTTGCTTTTGTAGACATCATTTAGCTTCATTTTTAGATCTCCAGCCATGTTTTTTTTCTGTAGTGGTTGAATTAACTTAATTACTGTATCTATAAACTTTGTCCGTATCATGCAGTCCTGGTATGAAGTGATAATATTTCTGTTTATATGTTTGTATTTATGTGTACATTCATCTCTCTCTCTCTCTCTCTCTCTCTCTCTCTCTCTCTCTCTCTCTCTCTCTCTCTCTCTCTGTAGGAATCTTTGCATATCTGAACTATCATGTGCCTCGCTCTCGCCGTGAGATCCTTGAGATCCTCCTCAAAGGCCTGCAGCGGCTGGAATACCGTGGCTACGACTCTGCAGGTAGACACACACGGTCATTCAGAAGCGAAACAGGATTTCACACAAACGGACACACACACACACACACACACGCTTGTGGAACAGGAGTTGCCAGTGTTGAGCGTACGCTGAGACGTGTGTTGTGTGTTTGTTTGTGCAGGAGTGGGTATTGACGGAGGGAACAATAAGGACTGGGAGAGCAATGCCAAGACAATCCACCTGATTAAACAGAGAGGCAAAGTGAAAGTCCTGGATGAGGAGATCAACAGTAAGACAACAGTGATGATAAACAATTCAGATCAGAATTGACGTTCTTGTCAAAGGCAAATTATAGTGATATTGTTTGTTTGTATTAATTAAAATTTTTTTGTTTGTGTGATTTCCACAGAGCAGCAGGACATCGATCTGGACGTAGAGTTCGACGTGCACCTCGGCATTGCACACACTCGATGGGCCACACATGGCGTCCCCAGTCCCGTCAACAGCCACCCACAGAGATCTGACAAACACAACGGTGGGTCACCATCAGTTTACTTTACAGAGACTTTACTTAACAGCAGGGATTTGAGGTAATACAGAGAATGAAAACGGACAGTGTGTTTTGCGGAACATAATCAAAAACAAGAACAAAATTGAATGAAAATGTTTGCTGCTTAAAAATGTGTTGAACAGGTTAATAATGTTATTATTTCATTACATTTTCATAGAAGAAGAAATCAGAGATGTTTTTGTTTCATTTTGTTATAAACAGAAATGGTATTTTTATTTGTTAGTTCAGCGTCCTTCTCTCTAGCAGGTAACTTAGTAGTGGTTCCGACTTAATAAAAGAATAAAATAAAAGAAATAAAGAAATAAGAATAACATTCTCAATATACAGTGTACATATTAGGTCAGTTAAAATTACTGTGACATAAAATTAGGGCTTTGAACTAACTTTAAAAGACACTTTCTTGATAAATAATACATTTTCTAGTGAACAGTATGATGACAATATTTAGTTTTTCTGAGGTTTGATAAGTTGGAAGAGACAAAAAGTGGCCAATTTAAACAAGGACGCACAGTGTCACTGTTGCCAAGCACCAGAAGCTATTTGAATGCTAATGGTACCCCCTTGTGGAGAATCTTCAGCCTGTGAATTATCTGTGAGTGAACAAGTGAGTGAACGAGAGACAGTGAAAGAAAATAGCATGAAAAAACTGAATTCTGTGAATTATATTTAGCTTTTCACATACTGCAGTATACTAAGGCTGTGTTCACATTATCAATGTGAATCAATTATGAAATCCAATATTTTGCCTTAATGTGACACAGATCTGATATTTTCAGAGCTGTTTGGTCACACAAATGTGATCAGATCTGAGCCACTTTCATATGTGGTCATCCTCAGTGAGAACGGTCAGATGGGATTTCATGTTTTTTTTTTGTTTTTTTTTTTAACTGCACATGCACCGTCATTCAGGGATAACATGCAGCAGGTCTGAATCTAAAGGTAGTGCCAGTAAACACTGCAAAAGCAATGTATCTGACTCTTCTTCCCTTTTGGTTTGCTCTAATAACAAAAAGCAGAGATCTGCCCAGGTAATTATCTTTGCGACGAAGGCTTGTTCCGCTGGTTGGTTTGTTTGTTGTTCATGACGCACGTGGTTCATTCAGGTGACATTATTAATTAGAGTGTGCGCATTCAGGACGCAAGTACGTTGACGTTAATGACAGATTTGTGTAGGAGTCACCACGTTAATGTGAACAATCAAGTTAGAAAGAACAGATCTGAGCAAAACAAAATCTGAATTGCGCAATGAGGTTTGTAATGTGAACATATATACAACTGAACAGGACTGTTTACGTTGTCTTTGTAATAAAGGATGCAGAGTTCCTTAAGTACTGACGGTTTACTCAGAAAAGAATTTTGTGATGTAATGTGATGTAATTATAACATTAACAAGAAATATCATCTTATTACCCGTTCTTCCACTAAATCAGTCAGAGCTAATGTGTTAAATATGTACCATAAAGTTTTTACTCTGAAACAGTGCAAAGTGATTTTGTTCCTGTTTTCAGTTACATTCTGTAAAACATATTTTTTGTTTTCCCTGTTAACCGTTTCTAATCTTTACTTAAAATGATTCCTAGTACCTTAAAGATCACTCAATGTATCCAATTATTAATCTAAATCTTGTGTATTTGCTTAACTTTCCTCATATTTTGTACTGTATTCCCACAGAATTCATCGTCATTCATAATGGAATCATCACCAACTACAAAGACCTGAAGAAGTTCTTGGTAAGTGAAGTTCTGCAGCACCTACTTGTCTGTCTGTCTGTCAGTTTATTCTTTTCAATATCTGTTTGTTTATGCACGTCCATTTCTGTCTGTCTGTTCCCAGGAGAGTAAAGGTTATGAGTTCGAGTCAGAGACTGACACTGAGACCATCGCTAAACTGGTGAAGTACATGTACGACAACCGGGAGAGCGATGACATCAGCTTCGCCACTCTGGTGGAGCAGGTCACCCAGCAGCTGGTGAGTCTGACCTTTCAGCTCACAAGGGTTAGGAAGTGTACAGTTATTTGGACTCTTGGTAAATATTAGGGTGTAAATCTTTGACCTCACAGCAATTCATTTCCTTTACAGTTATTTGGAGACAATTCAGTGATTCAAGAAATCTTCAGTTTGACCACAATTTGATTAGAATAGATTTGAACATTTCCAAAAATCGATGCAGCTGAATCGACACCTTCAGATCATTACATCTCAGCATCTCATGCATCAGTGCGTTGTTACACTGTTTGCACATATTCTGAAATATTTTTTGGTCTTGTGTTCAGGAAGGAGCATTTGCCCTGGTCTTCAAGAGCATTCACTTCCCAGGAGAGGCTGTGGGAACAAGGTACTTTGCCTGCTGTACAGTCTATTAAAATAAACCTTCCAAATAAGGTTCTAATGCTTATAATACAAAAGAGTATTTTGCTTTTGGGGAAGTACTGTTGTCATCTTTATGCCATTTAAGGCAAAATGCAGTGGTACAATAAGGCAAGTTTCTCAACCACTGGGCCGAGGACCACAAGTGAGCCGCGAAGTACCCCTAAGGGGAGATGGCATAAAAATCAGCTCAAAAATAATTGACTTAACAATAACAGTGCACAAAGGAAGCTTCGTCGTCTGCCCTTTGCGTCTAGAAACACCTGACCTTTCAGTTGTCCACTTGCACCAATATTCTGGTTATTTCATGTTCACTGATACACATAACATATTGCAAGAGTAGGCCTCCAAATTTCACTGCATTGAAAATTTTCCCATAAATGACATTTTTTAACAAAAACATTGAGTTTTGCTTTCTTGTGGGCCTTCATGCTATCTAGTGATAAACAGGTGGGCCTTGAGGTGGAAAAGGTTGAGAACCTCTGCAATAGGGTGATCAGATCAGAGCAGCTCTTTTGCAGGACAGCATAAACGCTTTGGTTGGACATTGCAGGAAGCTCAGGGAGAGGGTGTTGAACTGTCTTGATTTAATAATATACAGCAGCACATTTATATTAACCTGCTGTAAATTGCCAAAAATGTATGGGCAGCTAAAACATGTCTTTTGCACAGGATTCGTATGAATAAACTGTGCTCAGTTAAGCATTAAATAGTGACCACAAAGATGGCTAAGATATTTTGTTATATTCTTGAGCTTATTGTACTTTAAAAAGTGTTAAAAACATTTCCTCTTTTTTTCCCTTCATTTAGCAATTTTCATATATTGTTTTCTTTGTTTTCTCGAGCCTTTCATGCTCATCTTCGACTCGACTGCCAAACATATTTCTGTGTTTAGAAATAAGAAAGTGGGAATAATCATTGGGATGAGGCATGATTTTATTTTTACACGTATTTAAAACAATCATGTAACTGTGAAACAATATTTACATTTTTCCCCACAATCTTTGAAATGCAAGACTGTTTTGTGCGGAACATGGGACAAAACTTTTTCTGGATTTTTTGTGACTGTTCCACAAAATGCAGGATGAATGTTCACCCTGTGGTACAGTGTTTGAATCTTGTTTGAAGAGAAAGGGTGTCTGAATGATCTCACTGAATATCATCGTGTTTGTGTTTCTCCAGGAGAGGAAGTCCAATGCTGATTGGTGTGAAGAGTGACCACAAGCTCTCAACAGATCACATTCCTGTCGTGTACCGCTCCTGTGAGTGACACATGCAGTAAAATGATCTTAGACAGACCTCCTTCGACTCTTAGTAGAGTTGAGTAGTGGCAGAACTGTAACTGCTTATCTGAATTGTCCTCGTGCTGTAGAACCGCTGGATTTGCATGAATTGATCTTGCAATCAGTTCATTTCAGTTTGCATTTTGTTAGTTATTTCTTAGAAAGGATTTTCTTTTTTATGCGTTTCTGTCTCTTTTAGCTGGTAAGGATAAGAAGAGCTGCACCACTCTTCCCAGGATGGGCCAGGATACCTCTCTGTTTCCTGTGGATGAGAAAGCTGTGGAGTACTACTTTGCATCTGACGCCAGGTCTGTCACACACACCCCTCTGCTGTCCTCTGTCACACACACAGACCCCTGTCATCCTCTGCCATCTGAACTTGTGCTTTCGTGAAGTTTGGTTTGATGCTGGTTGTTCTAATAGGGCCTGACTGATATGAAAATTTTGCTGGCAATACTGATTTTAAGGGGCTAAAAAATTCAGAAAACTAATAAACTGATAATACTGCACAATATCATTTAGTGTTTATATTTAAGACTTTAATATCAAGCAGTTTTAGTTAAACTACACTTAACTGACTAAAATGATGTCAGTTCACAATATTCACGCTTCTTAAACTGAAATAAACAGTAGAAGCACACAGTCTAAGGCTGGGTTTAGACTACATGACTTCTAAAATCTTAACAGATTTCTAAAACAGACAGCATTGTCTTTTGCTCGTGAGGGCGCTCACACTAGAGGACAAGGCAGAGAGTAGCACACATAAAGAGTTTGGGCTACGAATAAGAACTCAAACCCCAGATGTCCTCAGACATTACATGACACAAACAAATCAAATGTTCTGGACTGGATGTGTTTATTCTTTTATGTGCAGTGAAAACACAAACTGGGGATTAAAGCGGGGCTGAGAAACAATGATATCGCAGAGAGATGGAGAAATACTTCACTACAAACTGGCAGCTGACTTAAAATTGTAAAGAGTGCTTTGACTTTTGGATCTATACATCATAAACATTAAAACAGCTCTTATCTGCCTGTGTTTTACACGTTGCTCCTCTGTCTCACCTGTTTATGCAAGTCTCTTTGCCTTTTTTTTTCGCTCTTCTAGCTCTCCTTCTCACACATTGCGGGACTCGGGAACGTTTTGAGTCATAAATATCAAACGTTTGATAATATCAGAGGGTCTCTGATCACTTCAGAGTTCGATCGACGGGCTAAAGATTCACTCGTAGCTTCTCTCGCACTACCAGATCATCCACGCCGTCTGAGCTCCCGGCCTAGAAAATCACTTCTGATTGGGAAAATTTGTCGCAAGGGCCATGTTGGCGTTAAAATCGGGCAAAAAAAATTGTGTACTGTGGGCCCAGCCTTAAATAAGATAGATACAGTCATATGCACAAGTTTGGGTATCATTACATGTTTTGTTGATTTTCTGAGTAAAAATAAGTTGAACACATTCTCTACAGAGAACACACGTCTGCACATTTTAATGCACAGTTACTGTATATTTGCTGAATTTACCATATTGAAGAATAAATAAAACATAAAATATGGGCTGTGCAAAAGTTGTAGCATGTTTACATGTGTAAAAATACATGTGTAACTTATTTTAACTTAGAAAATCAACAAAGAGATGTTATTTGACCAGGAGTGTTCAGACTTTTGCACTGGACTATACTGTAGCACTGGGAGTGGAGCTACCCAGAACAGTTTGTGGTTCTGGTTACTGTTACTACTGCTTATTACATCTTCTTATTATATTATTTTTCTTATTTTTGTTAGTTCTCTTTATAAAAAAGGTAGTTTATGTATAGTGTTAGGGGTAGTTAGTGCTGGAACATGCTATTCTTATGAAAAACGTTGGTCATTTTTGACACAATATCAGCAATATTATCTGTGTCTTTGACTTCAATGTGGTACATTGAACACTTAAACTTGTACACATACACAGCGCTACTGGAGAATGTTTTGACTATTTCAGTCCAAGACGCTCACTGTCCTTGGAAGTATGTGTGTCTGGGAAAGAGGAAGTACAGTTTTGGGTTCGAGAGTTGGGTTTGTTTTCGAAATAATAGTGAATCTAACCTTGTTTTTGAGTAGATTAGTTATAGGTTTGTAAAATCAGATGCAGACCATTCAGAATTCATACCTACAAGATTAATCGATGTTGGAGAATAGCAAGCAGATCAACTTTAACCAAGTATTAACCTCTCCAGGGTAACATGTTCACACAAACACACATAACCTCGCATGCAAAGGCTTAAAGGAAGAAACCAGCAGGTTAAAACTGAGTTGAGAGTGAGCGAGAGATGGTGGTGGGGGTAAGAGCACCCATATGTGTTTTCCCCGTCTAACACAGACTCGATCAAAGCAGCTATTTCTTTATGCAAATTATACATAATATAGACAGTCTACATGTACAATTGCTGATTCATCATTACAGATTACTTGGTTCAGAAACATAACTGAACTGGTGAGGTTCAGTCAACAAATTTGGTGTCCCTCATGCATCGTAGTGATGTCAGACCCAAGGCTTTGAAGGATAGATGGGCATAAACAGGTCCTTATCTCATGTCACAACGTCCTTCTCAAAGACGCCTTACAGAGACACCAAGGCCAAAAAACTATATTCATAGGTATAAGAAATATATTCAGTATTAAAAAGATGCACATTTGATTACAGAAGATAATCTCTTATTTTATCATGCTTATCGGGATCTGTTTTTTAACCCATTCTTTTTCTCTTTTTCTTACAATAATCCTAATGCACTACTACCATATTGTACTACCTGGCCCTCTTAATCACAGCTTGCAGCAATACTGTTGTTTTTTTGTCTTTTTTACATATAAATCACTGCTGTCGGAACAAAACATGGTATCTCCATTTTTCAGTTTTTGGCATAATTTAAAAATGGCTGTCGCCCTTTACATTGTTTGTAAATTTCATGATAAGTGGACCAAAAGAAACGGCCCAAAATGTCTTGGGGGGAAAAAGTCTGGTTCCGTTGACTTACATTAAAAGTCACGTACGTTTTTCCTTCTCGACATGTTTGTTTGATTCTTCCAATAGGAGTCTAAATCTCTGACCTCACAGCGATGTGATTTGGTTTTGATTTGTTAGGAAGCGATTTGTCATCATGAAATGTCAAATGTCACCTGAATTTAATTAAATTATTTTGGCAAAAAAAGCATGAAATGCACAAATGGTAGAAATATTTACATAGTAAACATGAATAATAAAAACAATACACCAAGTCTTACGTTCTCAGCACACTTATTTTTTCAGACTAAGCCAATAAAATGAAGCCAGACCAATAAATAGTGCATACAGTACTGCAGTACTGTTCAAAAGTCAGAGTAATCTCAATTTATATATGAGTCAAAACTAACAGTTATTCTTTTTTCACGGTTCGAAAAACATAGAGAACATATATTTAACAGAAAATTACACAAATATAATATCACATTTTTCAGTAATTAGTGTGTCCATCCTTTGTCTTTATTACAGCTTCCATTCTTTTTGAGAGACTTGCTTTAGCTTTTTTCTTATAAATCTGCAAAGTTCAGTCTTAGAAGTTGGTTGCATTCTATACACTCTCTCACAATCCAAGTATTCCCAACTACTTACTTAGACTCATTAGTCTATTTGTCCCTCATTAGTCCTACTTTGGTGTTCTAGTGGAAATGTTCTTTCTTTCTTTTATGTCTGATTTGCTGTTCTCAATAAGGCTTTTTGACCTCTACACATACTTTCAGACTCATAGTGTTAAGTTGTCTTCTCACAGTGGAAGGATGGACAGAAACTGTGGATTTTACTGTAACTTTAAATACTAGAAGGATGGAAGAGTTATAGTGGCACTAGAGTGCACAAAAGTAAGAAGTAGACAAATGATAAATGGATTTTGACGCGAAATTGAAAATTCAATAAATGAAATCCTTTCTGACTTTAATATTATGATTGATTTATAATTGATTCTGACATTCCAGAATTGATTCTGTGAACTCTGCACCTTTAAATCTGTGAACTGAGGTGAACTGAATTTTTACTGAGCTGAAAATCTCACCTTTACATTCCTGACAGTGCTGTGATTGAACACACCAACCGAGTCATCTTCCTGGAAGACGATGACATCGCCGCAGTAACAGAAGGCCGTCTGTCAATCCACCGGATCAAACGGACAGCAGGAGACCACCCAGCCCGTGCCATCCAGACCCTGCAGATGGAGCTGCAGCAGATTATGAAAGGTGAAGGGAGACAGGGAAGGCACTAGGACCTAGAGGGCTAAACATCCTTGAAGGGTTGATAGGTTCAACTTTTTTGTTTTGCCCTGAAATATTTAAAAAATGGCCTGGTTGTGTCAGTTTCGCCACCATTATAAGGATGAAGTTTCTTCTGCACAACATCCATCTGGGAGTGGAGTCAGAAAGCGAAAGCAGCTCCAGGTTCAGTTCAGATGTTTTGTACTGAGTGATAGCTTATCGTTTCCAGTTCAGATTTATTTTGTTTTTGCACATTTGAATGAACCTTCAACCTCAGCCTCAAAAATCAGATTTTTAGATTTTTTGAATTAGTAATCTTTGAATTAGTTTGACTTGGCATCAAAACCGACTGAAAAAATGGTAGATTTATGCATTATCTTGGTCGATGGACTACAATTGACAGTAAAATCCATAACTTGCAGCAATTTCTTATAGTGCAGTCAGGTTGGAGGAATGTGGCCATCATTTCTCAGGCACTTTCGCCAAACAAAATCTGCTAGCAGGGAAGTAGCAGTCAGACGATTGGTGGTTTTGCAATCGAATGCTTGACTGCTTAGCTCTAAGCACTTGCTTGTCTCAGTACGAATGAATTCCACCCTGAGTGAGAAGTTAGGGGGAACCATTAAATTTGAGAGTTGCTGTAAAAACCAAGGGTTACCTTGTAAAGTGGGCTTACTTTATGAACCTTTGGAGCAGTTTGGCTAATTCCAGCGTTTAGGTTTGTAGATAAATAAGAGTGGGCCACTCTGCAAAACTAAAGTGCATGTGTGTGCAGGAGAATAGATAATAAGTTAGAATTATGAAAACAAATAAAAGCTAGAATTATGACTGTAGATGAACACACACATTCACACAGTATTTATTCTACCTAACAGAAGAGATTGTTGTAGAGACATGTTTCTGTTGAGCTGCACTGGTTGAATGCGCCCAGATATCATGACTGAAAAAAGCTGCCTGATAAGTTGTACTTTTTTGCATATCCTCAGACCACAGTGTCAGGTTTCGACATGAAACGAAACAGCTCCGGGTCTCTAGAGAAACACTGTCATGTCTCAACTCTCATACAGTCAGCCTAAGTGGCTACAATGCAATAAATGGTGACCTTCACATCTCCATTCCTTATTCCTAGATGAATTACAGTTTTGTAACCAAATTAAAGATGACATTATACTACAACCGCAACTTTACCTGAACTGCATGTTTATTACGTTCTTTTATTTGACACAGCATCAGTTTTTTGCGATGACTTTGTTTGCTCCCACGTCCGCTTCAGACTTAGGAACCGTCTCAAAATTGCCATCATTATTACTAGTAGTAGTAACAGGATCTCTGTAAGTACATCTTCTAATGCTTTTGGACACATGAAGTGATTAGCAGATGTACTTACAGAGTTTAATAATAAAGCAACATTTATTTTTTTTTTACTGACATTTTGTTAGTGGCATTTTGAAAAGATATGGTGGTGCTTCAGGTGTCTTGGAGGCAGCACGTGCTGGCCTTCACTCTCCCAGCTTGACAGTGTAGTATTCATATCGGTCTAGCTAGCAGGTTGCATCAGCAGTGGCAAAAATGGGGGGAAAATTAAGTAAAAATCCAAAATAAATCAATAATTTTATATATTTGCTTAAGTTATGCACCCATTAATATTTTTATGCGTTGTTGAATGAGGAGAAACTTTGAGGTAATGAAAGGTAATAAAAAAATGCATATTATTGAAAAGTCAGTTCTTTGAATAGCATGTTACTCTGAGCGTTGAAAACAGTTAAAGGGTTTGTGTCTACAGAGTTGGCACTGTTTGCATGCATTAGCAATAAGCAGTGCAGGAGAGCATAGGAAACAACTGTTAACCACTATTTTCTTAAGCTCATTAACACTGAAATGATTTGCACAGTACTGTATTTTCAGACTAAATAATCATCATCCTTTTGGCTTTTTTTACCTGAAAATTTTCAGTCCAAGTCTGAGCTTCTTTGCCACCAGAGGGCAGTAGTATACTTTCTGTTCTTTGGTTTTCTCTCACACACTCTCTCTCTCTCTCTCTCTCTCTCTCACTCTGTGTTGCCCCCTCTCTTTCTCTCCCTCTCTCTCTCTCTCCAAATTCTATTACCCAGAGTGTTTGTGAAATAACCCAATTCTCATGACCTAAATTTCTGCTGCAACAGGCTCTTGGTGTGTTGCACCTCACTTAGCTGCCCACTAATTGAGTACTAATGACTGCTGGGAAATCACTGTCACATTCCTGCGAGTCTCACCGTGATCGTTTTCCACTCCACATCTTTGTCATCGATCTGTTAAGGAGCAGAAAACAAAACTCTTCATTTGTAATCAGTGTCACGCTGCTGTGTAAAGGCCTTTAACCAACACCGCAGAGCAGCTGGGAGGAATCTTGTGTTGCTGATAAATCTGATAAAAAGTCCCCTTTAAGACAAGTCCAGCCCAAACTGCACTTCACACCAGAACATGACATTACATTCTAATCAGATGCTTCTTTCCTCTTCTTTTAAGGGCTTTCTTGCGCAGAAGAATAACAAGATGCTGTACATATGAAACTTTGAGTAAAAGCACCAATCTTGGTTCATTTTTTGCTGTCCATGCTTCACCTGCAAATGCGCTCTTTCCCAGCTACTGTTGTGAGTTGGACAGGCTTTATAGAACAGTTTTTTTTTAAGCCTGAAGAGAAATTGTAGCATAACTCAAAATATCTCAGTTTACACAGCCAAGAGAGCATAATTGTGGCCTCACTCTGTCTGGGTGGCAGATGTGTAGATAAAACGTTTTAGAATGGGGAAGCCAGGTTATTGGGGTAGCACACTGCAAGACTAAATTAAATAGCGTTACAGTATTAAAATGACATAAAAATAGATGTTTTTTTTCTCTGTACGTAACTAAATCTGTCCATCATTTCCACATGAGTAAAGTATTACATCAATACAACAGTTACTGAGAAGTAAGTTGAAAGACAGAATGTCTTTATGTGACATATTTTAGCCATTTATGAAGAAATGATGTATTTATATTTTATTGGTACACAACATTATAAAAACATTACATATAGACAGCCCATAAAAGTTCATTTCATTCATTTAGACTGCCCTCGCTACAGATTGTATGGGAGTCTAATGATTAGGAATCAAGTCAGACAGAACTGTATAAGGTAACCTATAGCACATGCATTTTTTCAGCTGTATAAAATAAGTTAACATGATAAACGATTTGAGCTAATTTCTACCATTGCATAGCCTTCTTCATAAAGTAGCTCACAGAGTAGCTCTGCTGAAGAGACCTAATGCACATTCACTTACCTGTTTGCTGAGCAGTTTAGCCTATCACAGCAAGATATGCTGATTATCTTACCTGCAGTGTCATCATAACCTTATAATTACAGTGTTAGTGATGCTTCATTGATAATGACTGACTGAGGATAGTTGACTGTCTTACTTTCCATAATAGGGATAATTGGCTCTTCCTCTCTCACCTTCCACTATGCTAGCCAGCATAAGTTGGCGGTTAGTCTTCTCCTCCAAGCGTGTTGAGCTGTCCAGTAACGCTGCATCAGCAGCAGTTTGGAAAGATGTAGTGGAAGCGCTAATCTTCACCCTCCTAGCTTGGCAGCATCATGTGACTGGAGGAACCCTAGCTGGTGTGTGAAGGTGACATTGACTAAAGTGAGGTGAAAAAAACGGATTACACATTTTTATTTTCAAACCTGAATAGGAAACTTGTTAGGACAGATAAGGTCTCAATGTTGCTAGCTGGCAAGTTAACATCATAGCCTACACCACTAGCTACTGTAGCATGGCTAAGGTTACTCTGAGAGATTTACTGACAACATTTTAATCACCATACTTACCATCTGTGCTGACATTACTGCAACAGCAGAAAGCCTGAAAGTTCCCTAACTGCACCTTTTCATCATATCGGATATCATATTGTTATGCCTCTCAATTATGCAACAAAAAAACTGCACCAAATTTACCCTAATAGTGTAAAACTTTACAGGAAAAGCAAAAAACATTCTTAACTTTGAAGTTAATGTAGCAAGATATTATTTAGCAGACGACTAATTGAGATAAAAGTAATTGTGTTTTTTTCTTGTTCATTGTATGAAACTATTAAAATACAAGACTGAACTGGCAAAATAGGCTGTTTAGCCACATTACTTGCTAGCTATGTTTTACCTAGTAGCTAACTCTGGTTGAACTGTCAAATCACTACTGTGTGCACACTCACACAATATCTGCAGTTATACTGAATTATGTGCAGAGTTAAGCAACACATGTTCTTCACAAGAGTGAAAATATAAGCCAAAAAATGCTCGTTCTGCTAGCATATGTGCTAAAAATATGAATAATTCCCATAGCTAACAAACAAACCAGTTCTAGCCTTTTTTAATGCACTTACTGCTTTCTTTTATTTACTTTGATTTACATCATTAGGTCTAACACTCCTAATTCACATTCTGTTTGTTGCTGCATAACATGACTATGAAATCCAGCGACTGTGGAAAATGATAGTAGTCAGCTAAAATAATTGCGGTCATCCCAAATGATTATCACAGGTATGTGATAATTGTAACAGGCCCACAAGCTGGTATTTTAAAATGAGTTCCAAACAACCAAAACAGTGATACAAGGTTTGTTTCAGCAGTGACAACAGAATGTCATTTGAAATTAACAACATACTAATGTCTAGTGGACATTACACTGCTGTCAGAATCTCAGAATCACTGACCTGCTCATGTTACATAACACTATTGCAGTCCTTTGTTTGTTGGCGGAGTGCAAGCTGCACAAGCGATCGCAGACGAGACTCACAAACCACTCAGTCTTTCACCTGGAGGGAGCCAGACGAAGTGCCCCTGATAAAATCCCACTGTCTCATGGAAAATGGAAATAAATGCGTGAAGTGTTTATCCGTGCCAAACTGAAGCTTGAGAAACTTGCTGTGTTTGTTGTTTCTGCACTAATTTGTACAGAAAAAGAAAGATAAAATCTGTCTTTTCAAGCAAGCAGTCATGCACTGTCCATAGCCCTGAAGCCTGTCCCATGTTTCCTGGGTGCATGCAGAACTCATTGCTGCCCATTGATGGGGAACTGAGTGACCATCGCCAGCACAGAGGAGAAAGCTTCTATGAATATTCACTCAGAGGCTCCAGATACGACAGTGGTGGTGGTGTAGAGCAGCAGTCTCGGTCACTATTCACAGGGTTTTTTCTCCAGCGGCTGCTTTACCATGTTTGTTGTTTTGGTTGCTTGTGTCTCACTCCCTGAGTTTTCTCTCACGCTCTGATTGGATGCTGCTCATTGCTGACACTACAGGATTCTTCACCTAGAATTTCAGACATGCTGAGAAATATAATCTCACAAATAGAAAAATCACATTGTGTAGCCTCTCATCCTACATACGTTGGGGGTGGCGTCATGCTTCCCAAGAATTCATCTGTGTGGCTGTACAAATTTTGACAGGCAGAGTTGTGAGCTACAGTTTCTCTTTAGCTCGAATGGGACATTTGTCTGCATTATGTAAAGCTTGTCCAATCTATATCAGTAGCTATAAAGGAGCACATTCGTACACCTAGCTTGGATAGGTCACTTTCTACCACAGTTAGAATATGAGTGAGAACTATTCTGTATGTGCTTGCAGTGGCTCTTAACCTGCTCTTTTCTCCACCTCTGCACACAGGTAACTTTAGTTCCTTCATGCAGAAGGAAATCTTCGAGCAGCCCGAGTCTGTGGTCAACACCATGAGAGGCAGAGTCAACTTTGACGACAACACTGGTGAGACCCTCCTGCCGTACCTTTTGTGTTCAGTGTTCCACTCTTTTTAAGGCTAGATGTTGTCCTGGAGAGATTTCAAATAAAGGAAAGTTTCCTTGTGAAATTAGCTGCGTTCCTGGAATGTTTTGAGAAGGGAGTGAGAAATGGAAGTTTGATGGGAGGAGTGGATTTCTTTCTGTGGAAACTTTTAGATCAGAAAATTGATCTGTTCTCTGTGTGAATCAGGTCTTGTCAGGTTGACTTTGTTAATTAAGATGATTTTTGCGCCTGTGTGTTTGTGTATGTGTGCATAGTGACGTTGGGAGGCCTGAAAGATCACATTAAGGAGATCCAGAGGTGTCGGAGACTCATCCTTATTGCTTGTGGGACCAGCTACCATGCAGGAGTAGCAGTGAGTGCAACAACTTAGTGCACATACATGGAAGCCACTCATACAAAATAGCATTCATGCATTTTCTCCATTTCCCCTGCCTTATGTCAGTTTTCACAAGTCCTCCTCTCCCTCTTACATTACTGTGTTAGTGTAATTTGATGCATTTAATATGTATTTTTGGGGGGATCTGCATGTTCCCAAGTTTAAATGAACAATGCACTAATCATAAATTTTATTTTGTTTTTATTAGCATTTTTTGAAAGCCTGAACCTTATGCTGTGTAGGCTACATGAACACATCAAACACACTAGCACATTTCTAATACATTCTAAGTTGGTTAACATACATGTTTTGCTGATTTTCTTTAATGTGAAATAAGTTGCACATCCTATACAGTAAACACACTTCTGCACATTTTAATGCACAGTTCCTATTTATTTTCTGAATTTAACATTGAAAAAACATGAAATGTGGCCTGTGCGAAAGTTATGGCACATTTTATGCACATTATATGTTATGTTTTATTTTTTCCAGTATGTTAAAATTTTCACTTAGAAAATCAAAAAACATGACATTTGACTGAGGGTGTTCAAAATTTGTGTGTGACTGTGACATTGTTTGCTCTTCAATAGGTCAGACTGGCATTTTACATTTGTAAATAAAAGAACAGTTGACTATCTTAAAACCATGAATCAAAATGCTAAAATTGAATGACAGGCTGTTTAGTACATACAGTGCAAGTACACTTACCTAACTCACATTATGTGCTTATTAAAATTAAATATGCAATTAAATGTGTTTAAATTTGTATATATAAAAAACAAAACAATAAATAAAATAAAAGTTAGGAGTTTACATTCGTCCCACCCCAAACACACACACCAAAACTGTGCACACCAGATGCGACCCAATTTCTTTGCAGTGTTAATTGCCGTGTTGTTTTTACCATTAAAAATTAACAAACGGACACAAGGTCTTCATGGGACAAAATCATATTCTTTACACTGTTTTCTCTCCATTTTGGAAAAACGAAATGATACTCATGAGTTTCACAGCCTCATTTAGGAGCTGAAACTTTCAGTACCATTTGAATATAGCTCAGCTCTGTTCTGTGCAGCACCACAAGTGATGAACAAGAAAACAAACTAATCTTGGTTGTTGCCAACACAAGAGACAACAGTGACAGGCCGAGTGGGTTCAGGCTGCTTGTGAAATTTGCAAAAAGAACAGAGGAAGAATAATATAATCTTGCATTTTTACCATGTGGTGTGCAGGACACCCTCAGTTATATACGTGTTTGGATTAATTTTTTGACGTCTAAATCAGTCCCACAAATAACACTTGGCAGCAGGCCTTAAGCTTGAAATCAGAACCATTGTACCATAAATTCGGGTGATGTCATTGATTGCCTTTAAATGTCTCTTTCAGAATTAAACATTCTGTATAACAACAAACCCTGTCTACAGTTAAAAAGCAGTAAAACAGTGGCTTGTAAAAGGTACTTATCAAATATAACATCTTTAATTTATATTTCTCTCTCTGTCTCCCAGACTCGTCAGGTCTTGGAGGAGCTGACCGAGCTGCCCGTCATGGTGGAACTGGCCAGCGATTTCCTGGATCGTAACACACCTGTCTTCCGGGACGACGTGTGTTTCTTCATCAGCCAGTCAGGTGCGAGAACCATGTGCTCTCACATGTATTCCTTCAGCGGGTTTTTTTTTGTTTGTTTGTTTTCTATTTTTTAAATAATGTTGTTTTTGTTGTTTTTATCCAGGTGAGACAGCGGACAGTCTGCTAGCTCTGCGCTACTGTAAGGAGCGAGGCGCGCTCACCGTAGGAATCACCAACACTGTGGGCAGCTCCATCTCCCGCGAGACCGACTGCGGTGTCCACATCAACGCCGGCCCTGAGATCGGAGTGGCCAGCACTAAGGTGACTCCTCCTCACCCTCAACACACAAGAAGCATCTTCACTTTTTACACATTCTCAAAACACACATGCACATTAGGGCTCAACTGAACATTTTATGGCCAATATCAGTTTGCAGGGGCAAAAAATAAAGATAACTGATAATATTAGCTTTACATTGTAGATTTAATGTTAAAATTTAGATCATTTTTTACTCCAGTATTTTTAAGCAGTTTTTAGTAGCTTGGTTTCCAACCAGACTTTGCATAGAAGTTTGTACACTTACACATATTTTTTTTTTGTGAAATTTCAGTTATTAACTGGAGTTTAATTTGACAGCTAGACGGAAACGTGGCTACAGACTGATATGACTGCCACTCCTTAATTGTCACATTTCACAAATAAACCTCGGAAACTCGTAGTCTTAAATAATATAAATACTGTATGGTATTGGGTGTTGGGCTACCCAGAATTCATTTTAGTTTTTTTGGTCTTTATCTTATTTTTCTTATTTGTTGTTAAATTTCCACTTTTCGTAATATTTATAAGTTATTCCCATGCTACTGCTTAAGTTTTGATACGTTTAACATTTATTTATTTATTTTTTTATTCTAACCATGATGCCACAATGAAGTTGCTAATTATTGCCTGTAAAGATAACATCTCAGATCATCAATATTAACCGATATAAAAGGCCAACCGATATATCGGTCAGGCTCTAACACACGCAGCAGGTGATAGAAACATGCTACAACTGGAACAAAACAGCAGGAATCTATAAACTTACATTACCTCAAAACACATTACTTTCACTGAAGATGTATCGGATGCCCTCATTAAAGAAGGAATGCATGTATGAACTGATGTTTGGTCTGATTAAGGTACTGTAATTCTTTACGTTAGCTTTATACTTCTCAGAATAGGCTAATTTACTCAGAGCTTCAAGCAGCGGAGACAAACTGAAATCACTTATTATAAAGCCGTCGGACCACATGGGAAAAGCTTTATAAGCACTCAGGTTTCAGATGTGTGTTACAGTGCAGTTATCGGGCCCATGGTTAGCTTCAGGCCAAGTTTTGATTTGAGGTTTTGTCTTATTGAGTTTGTCTCTATAATTGCTGATGTGTGTAAAGAAGCTGTCTGCAGGATTTAAGGTAGTATCAGCAAAGTGAATGACACCATGTCTCAGTGGATTTGTCCTCTAGACAGCTCTCATTGTCACATAACCTTCAGGTCAAAAGTAAGAAAGCAGATGTTTATTTTTAAAAATTTGAAAGTTTTACAATTAAATAAAATTGACAACTACACATTTGTTCATTCACATCTAGCTAAAGTAATTACTTCCAGAGTTTTCTATTAATTTGCAGTGCTGTATTCTTCCTCCAATGGAAAAGCCTTTACATTCTTTTTTTAATAACAGCCTTTTACATTGAGCAGCTTTTTGCTGTTTTCACACTCCGAATGTAAATCACCTGATTCAGTTCATTAAGCCTTCAGGAGGACCTGAATGGAGTGACACTCTGCAGAAGAATCAGCAGGAGCTGAAATAATTAGAGATCCTTTAGGTTCTGTATACACTGTTGCTATAAGCAGTCAGGTTCTTTTGTTCTGTGTTAAAAGGGGTGGGTGATGTTCCAAAAACATGACATTACGATACATGAAGACATTTTCATGACACACAGTGTCACAGTTTGAGGTCTGACAAGTTGAAGGCAACATTGCGCCAAAAATGCCACATTTAAAAATGCTATTTAAGCTGTGACTATGTGACTACAATGATTTTTATTATTTGATTAAGGTCTTTTGGTAATAAAACGTGCTGTTGGTCGGTGTTCTTTAGGTCTGATATCCAAAGTATATAATACATAATTTATCACAATGATAAAATATCATTATATTAACCAGTCCTATATCTCTTGGGGGAAATAGTCATGTTCATTTTTACATTGTTAAACCTTTGGCTAAATGTTTAGCCATACTTTTGGCCGCTTGTATTGTAAGTGGCCCAGAGTGCTATATATAGGTAATTGTGCCAACTGAATTGGAGAGAAAATCATTTTTATATCCTCAAAATGTATATTTTTCAGCTGAGAGTGAGGAAAGGTTTTCTCTTGGCAGTGTATCCAGTCAGACCTATTCTCCAGACCCAGAGCTTAATCTGCTTGGATAAACTCACATATCTTTCTGAAGAACGGTGATCGTCCCAAAAGCATCCAAACTGCAAAAAGTAATTCATAATTGCAGGACAGAGGCTTGGCAGGTATATGAACTGGGACAAGCTGCCAAATGCTTTCTAAGGACTGGCTCTGCTGCTGGATAGTCTGTATTTTCAAATGGATAGTTTTGTATGTAGTCTTATGTAAAAGTTTGGCCACTCCAAACTTAACTCATTCTCTGCACATTTTAAAGCAAAATTACTGTTTATTTGCTGGCTTTAACATACTGGTAAAAATATAGATGTAAAATGTGGCTTGCGCAAAAGTTATGCCACATTTTGTATATTAGGTTTTTATATACCTAGAAATTTTGCATGAAAATTTGCAGAAAATGCCATATTTTTTGTTCCCTGTAGAGGATGATTTAACTTATTTTCTCTTAATGTAAAAAAAAAATGTAATTTGAAAGTTACCCTCTTAAAAAGGGTTTTTAAGGGCTCTTAAGTAAAGAAAATGGTTCTGTAAAGAAATGTGAATACTCAAACTCTTTGCATGATTAAAGGGTTCTTTGCGTCATGAAAGGATTCTTCAGAATGTGCTGTAGATGGTTCAGTATAGAAGCTTTTTGGAAAGGGTTCTGTATAGTACTCAAAAGGGTTCTTGTTTTGTAATGATGTCAAGATTGTAACAATAGGAGAACCCATTTGGGTGCTATATAGAACACTTTTTAAAATGGTACTATATAGAACCATCTACAGCACATTCTCCATCAATCTGATGACCCCTTTAATGATAAAAGAACTCTTAAATCATGCAAAGTGTTCTTTGAGTGTTCATGTTTCTTTATAGAACCATTTTTTATGAAAGAGCCCTTGAAAAACCTTCTTTTTTTAAGAATGTATCTAATAACTACCCGTGTTCCAGAAGTTATTTTATAGATGATTTTGCTCTGTCCTTTTATTTGACAAAAATTAAGCTGCAACTCACACTCTATTAGCGTTTACGCTCACATCCACATCAGTGTTGGGTTCTGTTTTAAAATGACTGAAGGAGAAAGTGTTCCTCTTTATTTGTTATATATCAGTTGCATCCTTACATAATATGAAGCAAAATATGCATTATGTGCAGCTAGCAGTAGCCAAATTATCAAGAATAAAATAAGGCAGCCTAAAGAGTTCTCTTGCTGAATGAACCGGTCAGTATAGTGTGTGAGAGAGTATATATCTGGAATAGTCATCTCCCATTAGACTCCCTCCTTCAGCTGGAGCTCAGATATCATAGAGAATGACACTCTTTCTCATCTCTCCATCTGTGAAACAGTATAAACCCATTCTTCCTTTACCCTCCTACCCACTGCTTTCTAGCTTGCAGGGTTACCAGATTGAGCCTGTGAAGACCATTAAGAGTGGATCGGATATAGCTGATACGTTGTGGCTTCCGTTGTGTAATGATTTCCTTCCAGGTTTCTAATCACAGAGACTGAGAGGCCACAACTTTGGCATAAATCTTGCAGTGTCTTGCAGCCAAACTCTTCATAATAAACCTCATGTTAGGTTTGGTTGATGTCACAAATTACGCTGTGAAATTCTAATTAAGACGGACTCCATCACAGTTAAAAGCTCCACGTATCCACACACTTCATACTTAAAGGCCATTATAGAGTATCTACTGAACAAATGAAGGCAGTCTTTGTTGGAAGAGTCTGTATGATTGGCTGCTGTTTTTTGGCACAAATTATATATACTATATAATACAATATAATATAATACTATATAAGATTTGACTTCTCAAAAATTTGGAAAGAATATTAACAGTATTGGATGTCAGTACTCAGTAGAACATTGAACTGCTGAAGATGAGGTAATGGTATGTTGCTGATTCAGTGTGCAGTGCAAGCATTGTCTTTAAACCCTCTTAAATTTTGTGTTAAAAGATCATATTTGGCCATATTTGGTGTTCTGGCTTGCTCTTTAAAGGAGTACCTTAGTCAGATGTACACAATGTTCCCATTGTCCTAAATGTAGTACTTCAACAGAGACTTGTTTGGTGTTCAAAGTCTGTCCAACTCAGGAGTAAAGATTTGCTACCCTAATTAAGCCCAATGGGGCCCGACAAAATATCATGTCTTGGGCTCCCGGGTGGCGCAACCGTCTAAGCGTTGGTTCTGTCATCAGGAGATCGCGAGTTCGATCTCTGATGCTATAGCCATCCGTGGTGGGAAGTCCAAGATGGGTAGGATGGCCCCCTCCTCTCTCCCCATCGCTCAGCGCGATAGTAGTCAGTGCAGGCGTCTTAGCTGACATAACAGAATTGGCGGTTGGTGCTTTCCTCCGAGCGTGTTCGGCTGTCCAATGACGTTGCGTGAGTGGCAGTTCGAAAAGATGCAGTAGTGCTCCACAGGTCTTGGAGTAAGCCTGTGCTAGCATTCGCCCTTCTAGTGCTGGAGGATTGTGTGATAGGGGAGTCGTAAATAGTCGGCGGAATTGGATGCGACTAAATTAGGAAGAAAATTGAGGGAAAAATGGCTAGCCTACAACAAAGCTGGACTTACGAAGTGTTCACCATAAACAGAATAAAAGAAGGTTTGCTAAACTTTTTAAAATTCCAAAGAGATGAGTTAATTGTGGAAATATTATAACCTGGTCATTACATCAGGTACAAAGCACACTTGTCATGTACTGTACAGTGCTTGTGATAGTATATTGAGCTATAATGGCAGTAAGACTGGCACGTCGTCTCTTCAGTGTCTCATTCACAGTAGATGCAGCCATTCGGGCAGCAGGATGAGCGTGTATGGGTCGGGTTACTAATTTAGCAGTACCAGTTGGGTCTCAGAGTCACAGGTAACAGTTGGGTTGGGGTTTACCTCTACTTAGGAGTGTAAGGCTACAGGCTACCACACACAATGCATCAAGGGGATGACATGCAGTGTAAGAAAATGCACCCAGCATCTTCTTATTAATGTACCACAGTAAACCCAGACGCAAAGAAAAAAAATCCATAGAAGGTAACGTGGCTTGAAATTTACACCAAGAAAAGCAGCCTATCTAGCCTGGTCACATCGTAACTAATTTCACTTGTCTTTCAGCTTGAAACCATCAAGTTTGTAGACTTAGTTAATTTCAAACTTAATAAATTCACTAAGAATGCTGAAAGTTTTATTCCATCAACTAAATACGAGTAGTGTAAAATGAGCTTAAGCTTGTTGTTTATTGGTGCTGTTCTGCTCTGCTTCCTATGTGTTATAGCTGCACTTTGTACTGTATCTGTTGCATGGTGTGGCACTGCTTGTCCAGTGTGTGGTAACCTTTAGATGGCTGCATTAGTCTTTCGGTAGTTCACGCATTGGATTAAACAGATTAGAACTTGTGGTGCAGGTTCTGCACTGTCCTTTGGTGGAGCGTAGAGTTCAGACATTTCATTGTTCTTAATTATGAGAATGTGTAACATTAGAAAAGAAGCTATTTTTTAACTTGTTATCTAACTTGCCTCAAACCACATTAAGTAATAATACACCAGCTTATGTGGTTTCTTATACTGCTATCTATAAAAATGGGAAAAGTGTGTCTAACACTTTACTGTAGAGCAGTGTTCATAAGGCTAGGTCTACAGTAGTTGTCATGAAGGGCTTATGTAGGTGTAATGTAGCCTTATGAACACTAGCCTACAGTAAAGTGTTGCTAAAACCGTAGCAGCAGCCATCTTGTAACCTGCGTTTTATCTGTACTTTTGCTCATTTTTATAGATGACTGTATGTCTTCACGTAAGCAAGTGTGTGATGTAGGCATGCCTTTTGCACAGTGCTAACTGGATACGTCAGCCTTTAACACCAGTGCAAAACTACAGAAGAAAACAAAACAAGTCTTGGCTGATCAACTAAATTTGAGGAAAATTGAGTGAAGTAGATTTTTTTGCCAGGCTAATGCTTGAAATGAGCTGGGATAAATGACTTGAAAGGTCAAATCTCTGCAGGCTGATGGAAGGTGCTGAGGGATTACTGGAGAGCGGAGAGTAAATTCATAACTCCCTTCCAGCAGCCCTGCTGCCGCCATGCTTTACAGCTTTTCTTACTCACTCTCGGTATGTCTGTGTGAGCGAGAGAGAAAGAAACAGAGAGAGGAACCCTCCCTTCATCCCTGCTTTTCTGTGGTCAGCGTGGAGATGATGTATGGTGAGATTCTGTTCTCCTGACGTTGGCTAATCTTCATTCTGCTTTAAGCAACGATAAACTGCCATGGCTGCGTATTCAGAGTTCTTTTAGTTCTCCCTAGATAATGCGGTGAAGTTGTTTTGTAAATATTTTGCAGACATTAACTGCAGCTACACCAAACACTGCACATTTTGATTTACGGTTGTTTTCAGTGGCAGAATTGAGCTTCTTGGAACCGTGCTCCGATTATGGGGCACTGTGGAAATGCAGCATCAGCTATGTAGCGTATCAGGAAGCTTCAGTCCAACTTTTTTATGAAACTCTGCATCCCAATGGCTGAGCAGTGGAAACAAGCTGCTGCCATTTGGGTCCTTTTCACAGTCCTCTTTCCTTTCCACATCATCAAGGCTGCAGATCCTTCCTTACTCCTCTGTAGCAGAACATGCTTCATTTGGTTGATTTGTTCTTAATAAATATCAAATTGAAAGAAATGGAGTTGGAAAGTAGAACAGTGTGTGTGTGAGAGAGATATAAAGGAGGTTCTCTGAGTGCTAAAGATAAAGTAGGAGTGGGGGACAGTGTGATTATCCTTATAATGATAAATTGGCACAATAAGTTTTTTCTGAGCATATTATGGGTCTTGTCAGTACTCAGAGAACACTAACCAAAGCCATGTTTCATTACAGGTCTTAGAAGAGACTCCTGAGCAGGTCTGGGACTACTATCAATTTATCGATAACGGCTATGAAAGTGTAATCTCAGAGGTGTGAACACTGGACGGCAGAGATATTCACAAAGTTGCTTCTTGCAAGTCTGAGTCTAGTCCAGAGTTTCTGGAGTGCGAGTCCAAGTTGAGTCTGTAGTCTCTGAAGTACAAGTCCAAGTCAAGTCTGGAGTCTCTGAGGTGCATGTACGAGTCGACTCTCGAGGTGTGAGTTAGAGTGAAGTCTTTGGGGTATGAGTCGACTCTCTGAGGTGCAAGTCCGAGTCAGGTCTTTGGGGTATGAGTTGACTCTCTGAGGTGCGAGTCCGAGTCAAGTCTCTGGGGTACGAGTCCGAGTCAAGTCTCTGGGGTACGAGTCGACTCTCTGAGGTGCGAGTCGAGTCTCGTGTCTCTGGGGTACGAGTCGACTCTGAGGTGCGAATCCGGGTCCAGTTTCTGGGATGCTAGTCTGAGTCAAGTCTTGAGCCTCTAGGGTGTGGGTCTGAGTCGAGTCTCGTGTCTCTGGGGTCCAAGTCGAGTATTGAGCCTCTTGGGTGCAAGTCTCAGTCAAGTCTCGAGTCTCAGGGGTGTGAATTCGAGTCAGGTCTTGAGCCTCTGTGGTGCTGGTCTGAGTTGATTCTTGTGTCTCTGGGGTATGAGTCCAAGCCAAGTGTTGAGCCTCTAGGGTGTGAATCTAATTAGAGTCTTGAGTATTAAGGGTGCGGGTCTTAGTCGAATCTCGAGTCTCTGGGTGTGAGTCTGGGTCAAGTCTTGAGTCTCTGGGGTGCAAGTCCAAGTCAACTTTTGAGTCTGAGTCGAATCTTGAGTATCTAGAGTGCAGGTCTAAGTCGGTCCCTGAGTCTCTAGGGTGCAAGTCCAAGTCAAGTCTCAAGTCTCTAGGGTGCGAGTCTAAGTCTCTTAGTTTTGTATTCCAAGTCTTGAGTCTCTGAGATTTGTGTCCAGTACGAGTCTCTGAGGTGGCCCAAGGCACTGAATCACTGTGTGGTGCGGTTTGATGTACTGTTTCATGTCCTCACATTAAAAGGAGTTTGTTTTTGTTTTATTTTTGGGTTTGGGTTTGTGTTTGTGTGTGTTTGTGTGTTTGTGTGTGTGTGCGCGTGTGTGTCTATAAAGCCAAACAAAAGTAAAATGTGCCTGATGAAAGGACCAGTGGGAAAGAACATGGCAATGTGAAATAGGAATTCACTTTCAATAAAGATGAATTTCACTTTGCAAGGAGTCTATTTAGATGAGCTTTAACCCCACAAATTCACAAACCTTGGAAGCGAAAGCCAGTAGAAAAGCAGTCCACAGTCTGTGGTATTTTCTTTCTGAGAAAGGAAAAAAAAGAGAAACTGCACTTTAGGCCAGATTAATGGAACTTGGCTGTAACAGTTATGTTACACAAAATGTGCAGCACAGTAACCAAGACCTATTCCTAATATCACTCTGGCGGTAATTAGTGAACCAGTGTTATTTTAACGCTGCTGTATTTTCACCTGTGTCCTAGGCAAGAGCCAATCAAAATCCATATGTAAATGAGGTTATACATATTAGACCCACTCCAAGTGAGGCTCTGAAACAAAAACAAAGAAACAGAGAAAACCAAAATTCTCAGAAACAAAGTTATGAATTTTAAGGGAAGAAGTGATTATAAATAATAGTAAATTGTTTGATTACTCCATGGAGCTCTGTGCTTTTAACCTAAATGACATATATTTAGAATTCTAATATAAAGAATTTAGATATCAATTCTATATATAAAATCTAACATCGTTAAAGTCAACTTTTAATTGTAAGAATGATAGTGTGTAAGTTTTTATTTCTCATTGGTAAAAATAGCCTTTTTCCATTTCATTGTAATTGCAGTAATTTTTTTATGGTATTTTCTTTCTCAGATAACTAAAATTTAAATGAACATGCCGAAATTCTAATTACTATGGCAAGCCGTTTGATCTTTTTATTTCCTATTTTTCTTGATCTCAGAATTCAACTTAGACATGTAAAAATTAAATTTTAATCGGTAAATAGTTCATTCGATATCACAAATTCAATTTGCACATAAGTATTCAGCTTTAGCTAGTAAAGATTCTGTTTTTTCTTGTAAAAAAGGAATTTTTACTAGTAAAATATCATTTTCGTTTGTGTTAATTGAATCCTTTTGTAAAATCTGTTGTAAATTGAAAAACAGAATTAAAAGCTAAAATGGCTTGCAGTAAACTGAGTTTGAACATGTATTTAGCTTCTCAACATGTCAAATTACTCTTATTTGGATTACAGGCTAAACCTGCTTTCCATACACAGAAGGAGGATTTGCGAAACATCAAATAAGTCTTCTTACTCCTCGTCTGCAACAGCAGTTAGAATTTTTTTACGGGGAAATTGCAGTCAGAGTGATCCAGACATTATTTTTTTATGTGGTGTTATTTTATGTGGTGGTATGAATCACTACCACAGCAGGTAGATGAGATAGAAATGTGACAACACCTCACATCATGTAAGCGTTAAGACATGCCGGTAATCCTTGTTTATGAGTGAACAAACGTGCTGCCGTGACACTATTTGCTCTTAACGTCACGGTAAATCTGGCAGCGTGTTTTATGACTCTGGCCTAGCGTGTCTTTTCACTTACAGCTGAAAAACCAAACTAGCTGATGTTGAACTAGCTGTTCACTGAACTGTGTGTTCCCTTCAAAACAGCTGTGAGTCTGATCATATTTGGCCTTGTTTAAAACATGCCTTTGGGAAGTGTGTTGGTTTTGTTACACAAATCATGTCTAGTGTTAGTCGTAGATGTCACTTATTTACTGTTATTTTGTGTGTTTTTCAGGCGTATACCAGCCAGTTTGTGGCCCTCATCATGTTTGCTCTGCTGATGTGTGACGACAGAATCTCCATGCAGCCAAGAAGACGGGAGATCATTCAGGGCCTCAGAGTACTTCCAGGTAAAAATTAGAGCCCGACCGATACCGATTTTACAATCTGACAATTCCAATAAATAAAATTGGCCGATATAATTTTATTTTTATAGTTTAGATATTAATGTTATATTCCAGTAATTTAGTTAAACAGTGTTGACTGATATGATTGTCAGTTCTCATTTGTCACAATCCTTAAAATGAATTTAATAGCATTAAACAATTAATATATAATATGTTGTAGCCCTGAGGGGGCGCTACACAGAATGCTTTGTACGTTTTGGTTTCTGCCTTGGTTTCAGGCCCTAGTAAGGCTCAGTTAGAGGGCAAAGTTAAGACTTCACTGATTGCTCCTCAGATACATCCTTTTTTGGCTTGACTCAAAAAAAGTGTCATGATGATTAGCTAATGTTTCATCACTGTTAACCTATGGCGAACTACAATTTCGCCTTCAATATGGGCCATAAATGTCAAAACTTAGTCAAGTTGAACGGGAAAAAAAACTCAACTGTTAGTGGCCTTATGGGTTTCTAGCAGTTTGTTAGCTCTGAGCTAAGGATGGCTTGCATTAACACTTTCCGACGAGGCTGAAGTCGGCTTGTTCATATTATCCGTTCCACCTTAAATGGTGCAGAAGTTACCAGAATGTTTAAGATGAGACACAAAATCTGTTGCCACCAGAATGAATTCAGAGTGTGCATGACAACATTACACTGCATGTTTAATATCACAGTATACTCAATTTCTGAATACCGACTACATGTCTAGTGTGTGTGTGTGTGTGTGTGTGTGTGTGTGTGTGTGTGTTTGTGTATTTGTTTGTGTTTGTGTGTGTTTTCCTTGTGTGATTGAAAGGTTGTGTTTGACAGTTAGTGATTCTCTTGTGAAGATATTTGGTTTTTAAGGGGAAGGGAGATATACTGTGATATTGAGACAGTGACCTCATGCTTCTGAAGGATGTGCCAAAGGGACGTATGTGTCCTGGAGGATCTCATGTTTGGAGTCTTTATAGGAGCTGTTTGACAGTTTGTATGATCATTTTACAGCACTGCAGCAGAGCTAGTCTGAAGTTGTGAGTGGGTATTGTGTTCATTAGGATGGTGACCTCGTCCCTTTGACAGCGTATTTGTGTCCTTGTGGAGCACCGTGTGTTTGTGTGTGTGTTTACAGCTGTTAGGGAGAGTTTCAGCCAGCTTTGACCATCACTGCTGGAACTCTCCACTGGACCACAAGCGTCTGATGGGGAGACCCCCCCCTTTCTCCGACATGCACACTCTCTCTCCCTCTTTATATCTATGTCTCTCTCTTTTAGCATTTCTCTCTCTCTCTCTTTCCTCTTTGTCTCCCCTGGGTTTTGGAGTTGTGTTGAAGCCAATGAGGTCAGGAATGTTTTGGCAGTGTTTGGTTCTACAGTTCCTCCTACAACAGCCTTAAAACTGCTGATGCTGTCAGTAAGATGTGTGTGTGTGTGTGTGTGTGTGGTGTGTGTGTGGTGTGTGTGTGTGTGTGGTGTGTGTGTGTGTGTTTGTTTTTGTTTTTTTCATATCTAAGAAAAACAATACATCTAGAGAAAAACAGCCCTAACATACAGGACCAACAAAAATTTCCTGACTTTTTATTGTCTTTTTTTTTTTTTTACATTTTTTTACAAAAGCTCAGTGTTTCATTCTTTTAATCTGAAAGGTAAAAAAATGTGGTAACTAAGAGGTAGATTTAGAAAATTATTCATAAATATAGGACCTTATGTGTACATTATATATTTTGTATATAATGCAGATGGGACATGTTAATATATATATGTACTTTATTAAAATGTTTGAACTTTCCCTATTTTCACTCCCAAATAAATCATAAGACTACTGAAACTTAGTGACTGTTTTGGTGTTTTGGTAGCAATGATTTTATCTAATCTTGAGCGCAACTCAAAAACGCTAGCCAGAAAGTGTAAATTTAGGTGTTAGGGTTGGAACAGCCTGGTCTGATGAATCTCAGTTTCTGCTGAGGTGCACGGTAAGGTCAGTATTTGGCACCAACAGCATGAATCCATTGACTCAATGCCTCACTGGGTCAGCAGTCCAGGCTGGTGGAGGTGGTGTAATGGTGTGGGGAATGTTTTCTTGGCACACTCTGGGCATGTTAATACCAATCAATCATTGCTTGAATGGCAACTGTGTGTGTATGTATATATATATATATATATATATGTAGGTTCTCAGCATGAAAGTGCACATAAACATGCATTTTCATGCTGGACGTGGCCATTAGATGGCGGGTAAATTGCCATGAAGGGATAAACATGGTCAACAACAATACTCAAATAGGCTGTGGCATTCAAGCAATGATTGATTGTTATTAACATGCCCAGAGTGTGCCATGAAAACATTCTCCTCACCATTACACCTCCACCAGCCTTCACTGTTGACACAAGGCAGGTTGAGTCCATGAATTCATGCTGTTGGTGCCAAATACTGACCCTACCATGCGGCTCAGCAGAAACTGAGATTCATCAAACCAGGCTTTATTTTACTTTATTGTCTTCAACTGTCCAGTTTTGGTGAATCTGTGCCCACTGCAACCACAGTTTCTGTTCTTGGCTAAATGTATTGGAACCTGACGTGATCTTCTGTTGTTGTGTGGTGGCAGAGTACACTACAGTTGTAGCCCAACTACGTTGTGTTTAGATGTGTTGTGCATTCTGAGATGCTTTTCTGCTCACAACAGTTGTACAAAGTGGTTATCTGGGTTACCATAGCTTTTTTATCAGCTTGAACCAGTCTGTCCATTCTCCATTGACTTCTCTTATCAACAAGGTGTTACCAAAAATGGATGTTTTTTCTTTATTGCACCATTCTGAATAAACTCTAGAGACTGTTGTGCGTGAAAATCCCAGGAGATCAGCAGTTATAGAAACATTCACACCAAGAGCATTTATTTGTATCTGTGTTAGCGTTGTGCGTCTTGTTTTCTGTTTAGTATTAAAAACAAAAAAAAAATGAAATACTCAAACCAACCCATCTAGCACCAACAGTCATGCCACGATCAAAATCACGGAGATCACATTTTTCCCCATTCTGATGGTTGATGTGAACATTACCCGAAGCCACTATGTGTGTGTATCTATATATACACCGATCAGTCATACACTCATTGTCATTTTAGCAGCTCCACTTACCATTTAGATGCACTTTAAATTACAATTACAGACTGTAGTCCATCTGGTTCTCTGCATACTTTGTTAGCCCATTTTCATCCTGTGCTTCAATGGTCAGGACCCCCACAGGATCCCCACAGAGCAGGTATCATTCGGTTGGTGGGTCATTCTCATCACTGTAGTGACAGTGACATTGTGGTGGTGTGTTAGTGTGTGTTGTGCTGGTATGAGTGGATCAGACACAGCAGTGTTGCTGGAGGTTTTAAACACCTCAGTGTCACTGCTGGACTGATAATATTCCACCAACCAAAACTATCCAGCCAACAGCGTCCTGTGACCACTGATAAAGGACCAGAGGAGGACCAACACACACTGTGCAGAAACAGATAAACTACTGTCTCTGACTTTACATCTACAAGGTGGACTGACCAAAAAAGTAGGAGTCTCTAATATAGTGAACAGTGAGCGGACACAGTGTTTAAAAACCCCAGCAACAACTATAAGGTATGTGTATGTGTATATATAATATTTACACACACATATATCCACCAAAACACACGGGACATATGTATAACCCTGTGTCCTGACGTTGTACAAAACAAGCTTGCATGTGTGTTAGAGACAAATTGTATTTGTTTAATGGTCTTTTCCTGTTTTTCTGTGTGACTGATTAATAATGGTTCATGTTTGATTTGTTTTGGTGCCTGATTCTGGCATGGATGAGGAATGTTCACTGAAAGCTGTTGTTTTTAGTTCTCTTGGCTTTGTATTTGGAGAGTGAAGAGGAAACATCACCCAAATTTTTTTATCTTTCAGCAGTTCTAAGATGTGGGTTTGCTGCTTTCTAAGCATGGCTGCTTTTCAGAGAGCTAACGTTAGTATTAGATGGAAGTAAACCAACATTAGGAACAGCTTTTGTTGTCATCCAAGAAGTTGAATGCCATTGCAAAGAAATACAGCTTTAATGGAAGATGCTTAAATCTGTGAGGTATTTTTATGAGAACAGACAAATGTTTTTTATTGTTACAGTTCCGTGAAACTTTAATTTTGCCCAGAAAATGGCAGGAAAGTCCAACAGCATGTGTCACAATGATAACAAAGGTTTCTTTTGTTTGTACATGTGTTCACACTTAATTAGTATGAATGTAAATCTCTGACCTCAGTTATTTAGTTACAATTGTTAAGGAAATGATCCTGTGCCTCATAAATTTTATATATATATATATATATATATATATATATATATATATATATATATATATATATATATATATATATAAACACACACACTTGAATATTATTCTGATTACTTATAATCAATTCTGACATTTTAGAATCAATACAGTCACTACCTTCAGATCGATGCATCAGTGCTCATTATTAGGGTGCCTGGGTTAATTTTCTCTCTCTCCCTCTCTCCCTCCTCCTGTAGATCTGATAAAGGAGGTGTTAAGTCTAGATGAGGAGATCCAGAAGCTGGCCACTGAGCTCTACCAGCAGAAAAGCGTCCTCATCATGGGCCGAGGCTACCACTACGCCACCTGCCTGGAGGGTGCACTGGTTAGACCACTATTCACCATTCCTCATCACTCTCTCCCTGTCTCTCTGTTCCTTCCCTCCTATTTTCACCCTTCCATTATTGTTGTTTTTCCATGTTCTCTTGCTCTTCTCCAGCAGAAATCAAGAGTAATATCCTTAATTCCCTCCAAACATTTCCTACTAATACAGCATCACAAGCTGCTGGGAAATCCTCCCAAACAGCAGGGTTTGAAGTGTAAGTGCTCTCGACTGCAACACGTAATTAGCTAAATTACGAACCCCTCTGCTCGGAGTGCAAGCGCTCTGCTTACTGTTGATGGAGGAAGGTCTAGACTTGCAGTCTTGTGTCACGGCTGGGTAATAAATTTTTTTAAATAAAAGCTTTAAATAAAAACTTTTAACTTCAAACAAAAACAAGCTGCCTCACATTTTCATGTCCCTACCGAAACACAAGGGATTTTAGTCCATATGTGGAGCCTTATTTTCGCCACACCCCTGCATTTTAGGGAAGGAAGTGACACTGCGTCCCTGTCCCTCACTGTCCCACTGTTTTGAAACAAATGTGTCCCAAAGTCTGAAAATCACATGTATGTAACATTTAATAATTGTCACTACTGAAACACATTTTATACACACTTCAGTACATTTTTTTTGTTTTAATGAAAATATTTTTATGTTGTATGTGTACAGCTGTTCAAAGCTGTGTTTGTTAGTCATATACTGGCTAGCATTTTTTGAGTTCTGCTCAAAATTAGCTAAAATTGTCACTACCAAAAATGTCACTACTAAAGCATTTGGTAAAGTTTCGTTAGCAGTATAATTGTTTTGTTATTGACAAAATAAAATCATTCATTTATTTGAATGAAATGAGCATAATTAAGGTATGGGGTCACTCAAAGCAGAATGATTTTAGTCTAAAATCCAGATGTTTTGAACTGTAAAAAAAACTGTAATTATAATGTGATATACATTTTCGACCATACTGCCAATCACTACTCTTATTTTGCAGAAAGAAATAACATCCTTTACATTTTTGCCTGTTTGTCTTTTTTGACATAAAAACCAAAATACAAAAATAAATCTAAATATAAAATATATTATATACAGTAAATAAAAATGTAAATAATTATGCAGGTAATTACAATTAAATACAATTAAAGTCAAATGTATAACTGAACAACAACAACAACTCTATACTTCTATACTTTTAGCAATATGTAATCTAAGGTAACAGTAACAGCAGCTTTAATAGATCAGTTTCACCAGCATTGCACTGCATATTTCTATACTAATACAGGGCCTGTAGATAGAGCTTGTGTAGCAGTAAATAAATCCATGTGAATTCACTTGCTGTTCCACTGTATGACAAACAGGCTCCAATTGGTAGGGAGGAGAAACAAAGCCAGCCAAGAAATCATCCCCATGTGCTTGCTCTCATTAGACAGCTCGTTCCACAAATATGCACCGGCCGGCCCAAAAACAACTCGTGACTGCGCTTTCGCATGATGCCGCTCTGCTGCTCAAGCTGCACAACATCCCAATTCAAACTTGTCAGGCCTCCTGATTATTCACATTTTAGTTCTAATCATGGGTCAGATTTAAAGAGATGGTCAGCCATAAAGCAGATGTTCACCACTTCCCCCTTACCATAAGTTTAGTTGATCAGCCAAACATGTGTGGTGTCTGAAGTTTGCTTCTTTAGTTTTGTGCTTGAGCTTCAAGTTATAGAAACTTATAACCACCAAGTAGCATCATGCAAACTTCATGCCTTAATCATCACAGACTTACTTTAAACCATGTAGACTTGCTTATGTGGTTTCTGACACTGTATAACATACTATCATGAAGTGTGTCACATAGCTAAAAGTGGTAATAGCAGCCATCTTGAATCTTGAATTGTTTAATTTTGGAAAGGGTGCAGTTTGTAGAGTTGTAGCTCCAGTGCAAAACTAAAGAAGCCAACTTCAGACAGCAAATGTCTTGACTGATCGTCTACATTTGGGGTAAGGTGAAAATAAATTAGTTTTAAACCAAGCTATCACTTTAACATATTTTTAGGCTTTTTAAGCATATATGTTAGCTGGGTTTGCTGTTGCAGTAGGTTTGAGTCAGTCTAAAAGGCTCATATGTAGGAAATCACCAATTGGCAATTGAGGGCCGATGCCAGTATTCGATATTAATGAACATATTTGCAGATGCAATACATTTATAGTCTTTATTTGTAAATTGTGTACATTTGGACTGAATCTGCCTGAATTAGCATTATGGAGAGTTAGCACTACATTTCTATAAGGTTGCAAATGCAGTATAGTGAATAAAGGATAAAAGATACCTTTATCACAGTAACACAGCACCACCTACATGCTCTGGAGTACAGTAAATACATCAGATCATCAAATATGGTTAGATGAATCAGTCATATCAAAACATCTGTAAAATGCCACTAATGTGTAATTTGTAAGTGTTGAACTCCTACTTTGAGCAGTACTATTAATGCCTGCTGTATGTGTGTTATTGTAGAAAATAAAGGAGATCACGTACATGCACTCAGAGGGAATCCTGGCTGGAGAACTGAAGCATGGTCCTCTGGCTCTGGTGGACAAGCTAATGCCTGTCATTATGATCATCATGAGAGACCACACCTACATCAAGTGCCAAAATGCTCTGCAGCAGGTGGTGGCGAGACAGGTAAGCATGTCTCAAGCAAACACACCCATAAACATAACATACAGTAGTTTTGAAATGTACTGCTACAGGCAGTGGCAGGACAGCCACACCACTGTATTATAGAGTACGCTTACTGTGCACTGTACAATTAATTCATATATACTCCTGAAATATTTCTAAAGTGTATGTTTGGCTGACTGGCCGGCTAGCCATATCGGTACATCATTAATAACTGCAGTGTTTTGCACAGACATTATGTAACACTTAAAATCCAGTGGTGCTCTGCTTTTGCCAAAGTAGCATGTTGGCAGTCTTCTTCTGGACAAGCTCGTCCATTTTCCTCTCCTTTTACTTAGCACAGAGCAGATCTCATGTACCAGAGTTTCTTTGTTTTATTTGCACAGTCATGTGGAAAACCATGAACACCCCAATTCAGGGGTCAGCAGCAGAGGGTTTTTTTTACTGCCCTGTTGCCGCTCCACAGCAGAACTAGATTTTTCAGTAAAAATAAAATAATCCTCCTTTGCAGTAAAATAAAGCTCTGCTGATCGTTCAAACACAGTTTTAACAATAAATGGTTGTAAACGCTGGAGTTAGTGTATAGCTGCTAATTCACCCTTTAACCCTTATGATTGGCGAGCGGACTGCTGGTCAGCATAGTAACACAGACAATGATTTGGCCTAGTTAGTAGCTAACAAAATGGCAAAGAGAGAGATTTAAGACAAGCATCGATAATTTGGTGACGAATGGACTTATTTGCACTTGTAAGCACTCTTGCTTGATACATTTAATCTGCAACGAGAAACTTTCAAACACTAAAAAGTCGCAAGGCTGAAGTCAGGTTTTCGTTTGCTGACTTCTTGTTCGAATTTTCCCGTTCCATCTTAAATGGTGCAGCAGTTACATTCTGGCACCTCAGGCACCATTTAAGGTGGAACAGAAAAATTCAAACAAGAAGCTGGCGAATGAGAAGCGGCTTCAGCCTTGCAAAAAATCAAACGTTAAGAGAAACTGTTCAGCTTTTGTGGAAAAGTTTCCTGCTGGAGATGTGAGAAAAACAGCTATAGCTGAGATAAAGCTTAAAGCAGAGAAAAGTAACTTTGCATTTTCGTTTCTATTTTTTATTCTATACTAGCACATCAGCACATACTGAGACATATTTACAGCTAAGATGGTAAAATGGACAAAACATGTTGTGGCTCGCAAGGTGGTTTGATTTTTATTGAAATGGCAAAATAGCTCGTCTTAACATTTGGGTTGCGACCCGTGCCCTTGTGAAATGACATGTTTTGCTGATTTTGAACTGGAAATAAGTTAACATTTTCTCTACAAGGAACACACTTAAATATGGCAACTATGCACAAGCTCTGTTTATTTTCTGAATTTAACATATGGAAAAGAAATTAAACATACAGTATGCCAAAACCTGCACAGGCCACAGTATATATATATCCCAATGTATTATTTTAGCAAATAAACAGTAATTGTACAGTAAAATGTGCAGAAGTGTTTTCTCTGTATTTTCACCAAATATGACCATGGATGCCCAAACCTTTGCACACAGACTGAAAATCCGTAAGGTATGAATGTGTGTAGTTAATTAGTTACTGATGTTTTCTGGTCCATAATTAAGTGTAGTCTTTTCTGTTGCATACACATTTTTGAACTGACCTTAGATTAGAATAGTTGTACAAAGGGAATGGTAAAATAAATAATGTGGCACATGAAAGCATGATTGCGTGAATGATCATTAGCATAATATTGGCGCTTATTTAAATTACCACGATATTCAATAATACTATAAATTATCGGCCCAATTAATTATCAAAAAGGCCAGCCATTTCTTTCATATGCCGTCTAGCTTGACTTCTTCCACTGCTAATCCCCCTGGATGTGGTTTGTGTGTGGTCTCTCTACAGGGCCGCCCTATAGTGATCTGTGATAAGGATGACTGTGAGACCATCAACAACTCCAGCCGCACTATTAAAGTGCCTCACTGTGTGGACTGCCTGCAGGGCATCCTCAGCGTCATCCCACTGCAGCTGCTGTCCTTCCACCTGGCCGTGCTGCGCGGATACGACGTGAGAGAACGCACACACATGCTTCACCTCAGTCTCTCTCTCTCTCTCTCTCTCTCTCTCACACACTGTTTAAGGCTGTGTTCACTCTACAGGCCTGAAGTGATACAAATCTGATTTTTTGCCTAAATTTGATACATCTGAATTTTTTCAGAGCTCTCTGAACACAAAAATGTGGTGTTCTCAAAAAAGAATTTTGGGATCAGTTGTCATAATAACAGATTTAGCATTATTTTATTCATACCCTAAAGAGTTTAGATTAAAATGCTATACGCTAGACACCAAAAGGTATTTCAAGATGTTTTATTCAGTATTTGACTTTTTTTGGGGAATATCAACATCAAGAATGCTTTAAACGATATACTGTAGTTATTTATGTATTGTATCTGCTTGGGATTTGATTACCACTGTTCAAACACAAAGCATTCTGAATGTCATTTTATTATAACTTTATTCTCAATGTTCTACAGCTTTCCCAGTTATTTAAGCAATAGAACACTCAAGGTCGTGTGTTATCGCGAATAACATCACAGCTGTGATTTGGTTTGCTTTCATACAACAGTTAAATAAATAAAGTAAGAAACCGATAAATTGGGCCGTGAACGTGGCATTTAATTAAGCAATAGAACACAAGAGGGAGTGTGTTATTGTGAAATAACATCACGGCTGTTATTTGGTCGCAGATCATCACAGCCGTGACGTTATAGCGATAACACATGACCTCGAGGGTTCTATTGCTTTTATACAACAGTTAAATAAGTAAAGTAATAAATAAATAAACTGGGACTGTGAACGCAGCGTTTAATATGTTTTAATGTTCGCAGTTCCTTCGGCTAAATTATAGTTCTTTAACAAGCAGCTTGTTGCTATATCAGAGTAACAAACTCCGCTCACTCGCTGCACAGTCTCAATTGCGGCAGTTTTATGACTCAGTCCAGTTTGGTCAGACATCTGAAGATAAGACTACACGTTTGGCGAATGGTACTCGGTTCATTTCTGGCTAATTCCAGTCGAGCAATACAGTGTTTGTGAAAAATGTTATGGCGAAATAACAGCACGTTTAGGACACTTCTCAACCAATCAGCTTGCATAGCGGAACCAACTGTTGTTTAATATGTTGTAATGTTCGCAGTTCCTTCTGCCAAATTTTAGTTCCTTAACAAGCAGCTTGTTGCTACGTCAGAGTAACGAGCTCCGCCCACTCGCTGCACAGCCAGCAGTTCGTTCTCCAGCTCCTTACACTGACTAACTGACAGTTTGTGAATTTAGTGTAGTCTCATCTTCAGAGACTGACCAAGAGACTGTCGGTCAAATGTGATCTTAAAAGTGTCCATTTTCTGTTTGTGGCAGAGTAAGAAGTAAAACGTTCAAATGGCTTGAGCGTCTCCTACAGCTGTCAAACCCGTTGCTTAGCAAAACAAACACTGTATCGCTCAGCGGAGTGTTTGTGAAAAAAAAAAAAACATGCTGTTATGGCGAAATCCTTTTCAAAGTTTCATGTAAGTGAGTTGTAGAGTAGTAGTATCATAATGGGATCATTTTATACATGTAACTTCAACAAAATGTGTTTATTTATTTATTTGATTGTAAACAGTGATTCCAAACTTCTGAACAGTAATGTAGATTTAATGTAGATCACCCACTGTCAGAACCGGGTTTAACAAAATAAACCATGCATATGCGGGTCGTTTCAGGGCACAGATGTGTCCGCATCAGTGACAGATATGGATCACTTAGATGAACTAAGATGAACCATCAGGGCAGAAAGATCAGCAGAAAGATCTGAAAATTGGATTTGAGCAATGAGGCCTGTAATGTGGACCCATTCATGTAATGCATAGCCCATTAAACCTCATTAAAGGCATATCAGTGCACTGTATCTTTACTGCTTCAGTTTCTCATTCTTTCCCCTCCTCCGTGCAGGTGGACTGCCCAAGAAACTTGGCCAAATCTGTCACAGTGGAGTAGAACCTTCGAGCTTCATCATCCCAAGAACGTGACCTACAACACACAAACACACACACACACACACACACACATACAACAAAATACTAAAACATAATGAAAACAATCCAGCACACTTCCTTTTATACAGGTTTCATCAAAGTCTTTTTACTTTGTCTGTTTCTTTCATATTATGAGCCTCAACTGAACCTGTCTGTCTGTATGTGATGAGGAGTGGCGCTGTTGATTGTACTGTCCTGTTTGTTTTTGGTGGTAAGGTATGGGGTGGCCATTTTTTGCTATGCTCTCTGTTGGGCTAACTAGATATTTAATAGTTTGTGTTTGTAGAAAAATCCTCAACTTGTCCTAAACCTTATTACCTTTGTGCTTGTTTGGTTTAGCTAGTCTGGTCCCCAAATGCCAAACTTCAAAGATCCCTGTCGTAGATAATTGTAATTAGCTTTTATTAGCATAAATAGTGATAATGTTGAGTAAGGCTTCAGTTTGCTACTTTGGCTAAAAGCCCTGATCAGAATTTAGTGACTTGAGCCGTGATACTTGTGCAGTACCAGGAACAATTTTACTGATAATGTGACACTTTAGCAGGGGAAAAGTTAAACCCCTTAAAAAAAAACAATCAGGGTCATAGTTTGCATTGTGTGTGTTCATTCAGTCAGAACGTTTACTTATGGTATGTCCTCTGCTGATGTTCGGATTTCCGGAGATTAGCATTGTAGGTGGTAGAGCTGCACAGCACATTGTTTGTAAAATATTATTGTGATACTAGCATTTTGCAGAAGGCTCTAACCAATCACAGCCCCAGATGTGTTGATAAAGGTAAATTATATTGGTAAAAAAGCAGGCTAATCTTTAGCCAGGTCATATTATTGATGCATCAATATGCGTTTTTAATGTGTTGTGAGGCGCATCACAATCGCAATATGTAACAATAAAATCGCAGTACTAGTATTTAGCCTATATCATGCCTCCATACAGTCATATGCAAAAGTGTTGACACCCCTGGTCAAGTCAGCACATCCACAGAGAACACACTTCTGCACATTTTAATGCACAGTTACTGTTTAGTTGCTACATAATCCAGAAAATGTGGCCTGTGTAAAAGTTATGGCACATTTTATTTTTTATGTTTAATTTTTCTGATATGTTAAACACAAAAATACATATAAACTATGCACTAAAGTTTGCTGAAAAAGCCATATTTAAGTTCCCTCTAGAGGATGTGTTGACATATTTTCACTTAGAAAATCAACAACACGGACAGATGGGGGTGTTCAGACCTTTGCATATGACATAGTAGCTAGAAATGCTGTTACAGTCATTGGGATGGATTATTTCAGCACATGTTGTCTAATAGTTTATCTAAATGCATTCCGAGACAGATGTGTAGTTTTCTGGGTAGTTATCTGTCCATACTTCTTCACTGTCGATGAGTAAATTTGTGTCTCCCACAGCTCAGTGAGAGCTTTATTAGGTGGCAGAGGTCTGAAGACTTTATGGTCAGTGTCTTTGAATAGAGTCAGAACAAATGAACAGGTCTTCTGTTCATTATGAAGAGAAGTGCGTATGTGAAGTACAACATCTAAAGAGTTTATACATGAAGTAAATGCATGCATCATTTTTTTTTTGACGATGATGCCCAATCTAATGTAGATTAGATGTCACAAATGTGATGCACTTTTGCCAAATTGGAGATGTTGTCACACTGGCATGCTGGTGATAATGTGATGATGATTTGAAAGAGAAGTCAAGCACTGCTCAGTTAAGAGTGGTGTTACTAGTTACTGAAAGCAGGGAATCCAGATGTTACTCTTTTACTGTGTTGCAGTGTGTGGTGGTTTTCTTTGGTGCCTAATCACTTTATTTGGAAGAACTTTATAGCTGAACAGTGAAATCATGACCACACGGATATTCTGCTTCCTGTAGTTACTTGAATAGTTTCCCCAGCATAGTTACTTATCATTGTTACAGTCTTTACTGATCTTGAGATTAAATGCAATTTGGGGTGTATTATGAAGCTGAATTAATCGATTTGCCAACTTTTAAGGTGAAGCCATATGAATTTTGTTCATTTCAATGCTGCAGTACATTAAAGGAAAAGTCCAGCTTTTTTCAACCTGATCTCTATCTGCAGCATCTGTAGCGAATGATCAGTTACCACGGACAGTAAATTTGGCCTGTTCCCTATTCCTGAAGACCTGTTCACTTTAAACTTATAAGAGAAGTCAATGGGCCATTGCTGAATTTTATTAATTCATTCAAAACAGGTAATTTTTTTAATTCTTCAGTCAAAGATGTTTGTAAATAAAGCAGTATAATTAAATCTGTCAAAGATGGTCTAGTGTTTTAGCCATTTGCACAGGAACCTTAATTTTGGAAGTAGAAGGATATATTCCAGTAAAAATCAAAGAAAACTTACAAGTATAGCAAGAGTTCTGGGCCGTAGGACGCTGGCATTGCTGCTACTGAGTGCTGATTGGTTGGCGAGCTGATCAGCTCATTGACTGAGTGCAACGGTTCAATACTCAATGACGTCGTGAATGTACATAAGACACTGCTAGAAAGTCCTATAACTGGCTCAGAAATATGCTGTTTAATTATTCTATGGTGTTCTGTGTTCAGAAAATGACTGAATAAGGATTTAAAACTTCGACTACACAAAAGCACTATCGGAACACATTCAATTTGGACTCGCTCGGGAGCACCCTCTACTGTCAGACTCCCATGGAAGATAGTACTGAGTGGTAAATCTCCTCACTACACGTTCTCTGCTCCTGCCTAATCCCATATGGATAAAAACATATGGAAGGTGAAAGCAACCTGAACTACTTACGCTGTTGCTCCAGGGTTCGAAAGTTTGGTAAAACTTCATAAGAACAGCTTTAAGACCTGAGTGTGGAAGAACAGGGAAACATGCTGAAATTATTGGACGTGGTAGGCATGACACAATACAGACACAGAACGTAAAGGTTAATTCCTTTCATTCAATTCCTTACATTCGTTCGCTAATTCACAAATTGAGCTTTATAGTCCACCCCTTGAGTATTTTTGCAGATTGTTTTTTTTGTATTTTTTTCATTGACATTGTTACTTTGAAGAATCTCAAGTTTACAGTGTGATTGCCAACAGAAGTAGGAACAACCGAAAACATGAAGAATGTTTTTTTTGTTTGTTTTTTTGTTTCTGAAATACACAAAGCTACCCCATACCGTGCCACCTTCCTCCTGTTTGATTGTTACCATGGGACCATTTGCTTTATATTTGTGCTTGTTTTTCTATTGTGTTCTATTGTTACTTGGTACAGAAGGGTTATTGTATTTTTACTGTAATTATTATAATTATATATCTACTTTGTTTATAATCTCAATGTTTGACTGTCACATCTGCCTCTGTTCCACGACCGCCCCTTTTGTGTTGTTCAGTGTTGATTATATACAGAAGTACATCTCACTTCAATATTTTGTTCAGAAGGATCAGACGGGTTGAAGCCAAAAGCATCTACTCGTATGTAACCAAAGGTGTGCTTCCCTTGGGGTTGCTTAAAAGCGGTAGATTTTGGGATGTCAAGGGGGCAAATATATAATTAGAGTTTTTTTTTCTGGCTTTTTATTTGCTTTGTTTCATGAGGGAGTTTAATTTGTCCTCTCAGGCACTTCAGAAAACTCTTGGAAAGGCTTTTGAAAAAGAAAAAGAAAAAGAAAAAAAGCAAGTTCTCAACATCCTGGCCTTCCCTCTGTGGAATTTCATGGCGAATTGGATGAGGTGCTCTTGCTGATTTTGTTAAGCCTTTCAGGTCACTCAGAGTACAGGATGGGGGGAAAAAAGAACATTTATTATTAATATATTACCATATTCATAACCTCATTTTGAGCGTCTGCTTCTTCACTTTAATATTAAGCCTTGCAATCAGGTTCACAAACTGGGGTGACAAAGCTTTCCCACTGCTAGTTCCATTACACATTTATAGGTATGAAAGAAAGTGAAGATTCCGTGGGCCTTACAGCAGAGTGAGTAACACTTGTTAATAAATGCTGCTTAGTTTCTTGTAATGAGTTTTGCAGCCATATTCCCTAATTAAGGTGATGGCACTGTCTCAATCCGCTATGTTTGGGATGCGGTTGTGGGATTTTATTTACAACCAGAGTAGCTGCAATAAAATTCTGAATACGACTCCCATCGTTCCCTTGTCTGTTGTGTGCCGTATAAAAGTACCACAAGATCCAGATAAAGCAGTGCTTCTATAAAGCATGAAAGTCCAAGTCAGTCAAAGGGACCTCCAGTGTTTTTTTTTCCAAAATTTTTGCATTAATTAAATGACGGAAATTTCTTCAGAGTGGTTTGAAATAGTTCACTGTATAAAAAAGCCTCAGATTTCTTTACAGTGGTTGTGATAGAAACCAGGGGTTGCAATGTCTACAACCAAATATAGCCATTTTACTTACTATCCAGCAAACCTACATGTTTTATATGTAACGCTGATAATGCTAAAACCTGAATGTATGTGTTTTCTTTGGCCTTGTGTCCTGCATGTACTTCCCCGCAATGAATGGACTTTAAAAAATACATTTTGGCTCAAAACGGTGTTTCAGACATGAGTCAACATATTCATGATAGCTTTCTGTGATGTAGCCTTTACAAGCTTCAGATGTCTTTAGATCTGTGTGGTTCCTGTCACCACCACTGTGAACAGTTCTGACCTGGTAAGTTTCTCTAGAACAGAGCATTTCACACCAAACCACTCTGAAAGACTTTGGTTACATCTTAACCATTGAATTAAGTCCCTTTAAAGGATTTCAACTGCGTTGTACAGTTATTGCTGGTCAGGCCGAGTGTGAATACAGAAGAGCTGCTGCCTCCTGGTAATATTCACTAGAACACAGTTTTCCCCTTGTCACAAAAGTAGCTGATCAGCCAGGACATGTTGATGTAGTAATGGAAGGTTGTGGTCATCTGTTAGAATTGTAGCATGCATAAATAATCAAATGCTTCCCTTAAAAACTGTGCCGAGTTGTTAGGCAACCTCATATAGACTGCTGTCTGACACTACGATATACAGTTATCTATAAAAATGTACTCAAGTGCTGACAAAATTCAGGCTTTAAGATGGTTGCTACTACTGTCTTTAGCCATTCAATGTAGTGTGGTTGAAGTGTGTGATGTATGCGGTTAGCGCAGTGCTAATACTTGAGTCATAAGCTTCCTTTACTTGTTAGCTACATTAGCCTTGTAGCTCCAATGAGGGAGAAATGGGGGATAAAAGTACATCTGATTGATTGAAATCTCTCATTTGCCACCAGTCAATGATCTTTTCAAAGTGAAGATGGAACATATTTGACAGATTCTAATAGAGCTTTTTAAAAAAAAAGGCTGAATTCTCATTGTGGGACTGAGCTTTGAGCCTCTGTCAGGCCGCGTGCCATCTGGCAGTCCTTTGGGGTCCTGAAAGAGCCAAAGGGAGGAACAGCAGGTTCCCTATTCCTCAATATGTCAGTCATAAAGGGATCAATGTGTCAGACAGGACGCGTGCTCAATCCGCCTTGGGCAGCAGCTCAGAAAAGTCAAAATGTCAAATACCTCCTCTGATTCTTGTGAGACACAGATGGATTTACTGACTAGATACTGAAGGGAGAAGAACAAAAATAAACAGTTTATTTGAAGTTTGTCGAAAAGTCGTGACCTTTATAAAAGTGCTCAAATACACTATATGGCCAAATGTTTGTGGACAACCCTCCTAATTATTCAAGTGTTTTAGCCACACACATTGCTAACAGGTGTATAAAGTCAAGCACTTTCCATGTAATCTCAATAGACACACACTGACAGTAGAATGGTTCGTACTGATTCGCTCAGTGTATTTAAACATGGCACTGGCATAGGATGCCACCTCTGCCACAAGTCAGTTTGTGTAATTTCTACTCTGCTAGATTTGCTCCAGTCGACTGTAGCAGCCTGGACTAACATTAAATATATGTTATAGCCACATAGGGGGTGGAGGTAAGTCCAAGGAGTCCATACAGGTGTAATGGTCAGGTGTCCATGTACTTTTGGCCATATAGTGACATCACAGGGGTTAACTTCAGTAACTTTAAAGTGGGGAACCTTGTATTTTGTTCTTACCTGACCATTATCCAACCTCTCCTTAGATATAGATATAAGACCCTTATTAGTCCTGCAGTGGGGAACTTGCACCTCTGCATTTTGACCCATCTGTGCAGTGAAACACCACACACACACTAGTACATGCACACACACTATGGGGCAGTGAGCACACTTGCCCAGAGCGGTGGGCAGCCCTATCCATGGCACCCGGGGAGCAGTTGGGGGTTAGGTGCCTTGCTCAAGGGCACTTCAGTCATGTCCTGTCAGCTCAGGGGATCGAACCAGTGACCTTCCGGTCACAAGGCTGGCTCCCTAAACTCCAGCCCATGTATACTGTGTCTGTTCTGACTGGCTGCCCTGTACTGTGTCTCATTCAAAAAGCAGGATGGGTATTGAACTCCTCCTTGAAAGTTCCTACTTACGAGTCGAAAAGTCGTAAGTATGACGTGATGCACATTCAAGTGGTTTTGGTTGGAAACAAAATGCTACCTTCCCGCAGAGCCTCGTTCTCACCACAACTTGCTACACTTGCTTCAGTTAATCAACCTCTTCCCAAGTTCTTGACTGGCTGAATCAGATGTATTAGTGTCAAATAAGAAAGGGTTGGAGCAGCTTATTGGATACAGGCTGGAAACAAACTCTGTAGGAAGGAAGCTCTCCAGGACCAGATTGGAGACCACTGGCCTCCTGGTCCTCTGCATGGAAAGTCAGAACAGAAAAATCTGAGTTTCCTAGAAACAAATATGTTAATGTGGGCTTGTAAATACGACATTTTCCACAGGACTTGAAGGCAGCATAAATCACTCCTGATAACTTCTGTGTTAGTGGGTGGGGCTTAGCTGAAATCCTGTCATCACTCTGTAGTCATTGTGTCCTTATGAGGAACGACAGGTCTAACATTTTTTCTGGTGTAGTTATAAAATAGAGTTTAGTATAGTATCAAACTTACTTTCATACAACCACATTTGTATTTATAGCATGTATGAGGCATTATTCGTATGTAAGCCCCAGGATATGCCCACCAGCTCATTCCTGATTGTGTTTCCGTTGTATAATTCTCAGAATAATAAAAAGGCAAGCAGGCCTTTTACCTGCTTACAGCCCTTTTTCTGTTTCTACAGCCAGTGTTTAAACTGATTGCTCAACCTCTGGAGCACTGCCTCTAATGCCTCAAGAGCGAAACTTACAGAGGAAAAACACCACAGCTGGACTGCGAGTGAGGATCAAGGTGTCCTTATTGCAAAATCTCCCTGTTGTTTTCATCTTCGGAGGCCTTCAGCAGTGACAGTGTTGATTTGATGTCACATGCTGAAATCTTTCAGGTTAGTACTTCATCATGGTGGACAGTGCTTCTTGCAGTCTGTTTTCACCAGCTGGTTATTTTTCCCCAAGGCTCTGTGTCTCCCTCCCTTGCACAAGGCGGATAAAGCTTGAATTTTACAAACTTTGGAGAACGTTGGCAGCGCTTACTGCCTTCCAAGAAAAAGAGTGGTTTTAATTAGCCTATTAGGATTGTTATTTTTCTGGGGCAGCTTTTGCTCTGATTGCCCTTTAAAGGGGGATTAGTAGCTCTGTGTAGACAGAGTGGCTCTTTTAGGTATTAATTCTGATAGCACACTGTCAGGCTTGGAAAAGCTCATCATCAAGACTTCTTTGACCTTTCTGTTGGTTGCTTACTGCTGGATCAGAATATACATTTCTCAGAAAGGTTTTAAGGATTAATATTGCACCTCAAGCATTTGGCCTATTTAAAACTTGTCCAAGCACAGGGGTGACTCTGACTCTGACTTTGGTTCATATTGAATTGATATGATCATTGATTCAACCCAAATTGTTGATAACAAAATATATTCATTTTTGAACTTATGCCATATTTACACCGATCAGGCATAACATTATGACCACCTCCTTGTTTCTACACTCATTGTCGATTTTATCAGCTCCACTTACTATATAGGTGCACTTTGTAGTTCTACAGTTACAGACTGTAGTCCATCTGTTTCTCTGTGTACTTTGTTAGCCCCCTTTTACCCTGTTCTTCAGTGGTCAGGACTCCCATGGACCCTCACAGAGCAGGTACTATTTGGGTGGTGGATCATTCTCAGCACTGCATTAACACTGACATGGTGGTGTCGTGTTAGTGTGTGTTTTGCTGGTACGAGTGGATCAGACACAGCAGTGCTGCTGGAGTTTTTAAACACTGTGTCCACTCACTGTCCACTTTATTAGACACTCCTACCTTGTTAGTCCACCTTGTAGATGTAAAGTCAGAGACGATAGCTCATCTGTTGCTGCACAGTTTGTGTTGGTCATCCTCTAGTCCTTCATCAGTGGTCACAGGACGCTGCCCACAGGACGCTGTTGGTTGGATATTTTTGGTTGGTGGATTATTCTCCGTCCAGCAGTGACACTGAGGTGTTTAAAAACTCCAGCAGCACTGCTGTGTCTGATCCACTCAGACCAGCGCAACACACACAAATACACCACCACCACATCAGTATTACTGCAGTGCTGAGAATGATCCACCACCCACATAGTACATGCTCTGTGAGGGTCCATGGGGATCCTGACCACTGAAGAACAGGGTAAAAGGGGGCTAACAAAGTATGCAGAGAAACAGATGGACTACAATCTGTAATTGCAGAACTACGAAGTGCACCTATATAGTAAGTGGAGCTGATAAAATGGACAATGAGCAAAGAAACAAGGAGGTGGTCTTAATGTTATGCCTGATCGGTGTAAATGGCAAAGTCTATCAGGAGGTCCAGGAGGCTGTAAACAATCACTAAGGTATTTTCATTAAGATAATTTCTAATTTCACTTTGGTAGTTTCAGTAACCAAATGCTAATCAGGGGAAGTTTGTGAAAGCTCAAATTTTGTATGCTGATTAGAGTTTGGAATATGTATCCGAACCCAACAGCTGACATTCTGTTTGGCTGTCATTTTCGAAGTATGTGTCTGGTTCGGCTCAAAGTTTTACATCCAGGTTTTCATAGCCCGCCCTAAGGCGGTTTATGCGGAGCCTGGCCTCTTCCTATTTCCCCCATTATATCAAAAACATGACTGCAAA